TTGCCAATTTTCCGTAAGATCGGATTAACTGATTTTGACATATGATTTCAAAATGTTTGTTTGTTCATTCATTAAGTCTGAAATACCCTTGAAATATTGATTTTGAAATATTAAAAAACGAAAATATTTTTATTTGGCTTCTTTAGAGCTTCACTGAAACTAATTTGCATTCTACTCTGTGCCTGTTTATATAATGTTTGAGAGAGGCGAAGCTAAAGGAGTGAGATGAACTTTGTCATGTTCAGTTAAGCTCTGAAGAAGCCAGCAGGATAATTGGCAAAACGTCCGCAAAAAACATCGAACACAGGAGGAAAAAAAATTTAAATGGTTGCTCAAAAAATATGCGTGCACTTGAGCTATAGGTTTTGGATGAAAGAAAAGCCGAAAACATTTTAACAATACCATAAAGCTACTTTTTCTTTCTAAACAACGATCTGCACGCACTTGACTCCTTCTAAATGTGATCTGAGCAAATTTTGTCAAAGTAATCCCGAATGCATGCAATAGTTCAAACTCAGAATGTTGGGAACCATTGATTGTTGAACACCGCAAGGTCTTATTGATCGAAGGCGAAGTCCCTTCTCTACTTTTTGTTCTGTTGACTTCAAAAATGTCCGAATTGCAAGTATAAGCGAGTTCTCTATTTATTCAATGTGTCTCAGATTCGCTTCTCTATACAGGGATATCCGCTTCTGTTATACCTACAGCAAAGGTTAAAGGCTTTTGTGATTTCGACTTTGATTACATTTTCAATAGCGGTTAAAACTATGAGTTTACGAAAACTCTGTGCCGATTTACAAGCAAAAAAAAATTGGAAAAAATAACTTACATGAAAAAAATACATGTAGAAATTGCATCGTTTTTACAGGGTTTAAAGCACAAAAGTGGAAAATTAATTACTGAATTATGATGCCGACGTGGTGCTGCAATTCTGCACTGCTTCCCAACCTTAAGTACTTTTTTGGATGAAAATTTAATAGGATTTCGACATATTTCGAAAAAAAGCTGCCGAAAAAATGCCGCAACCAAACGTTGACCATGTGTCAACGGTTATGTTGCTTGTTGAAAGCCACAAAGTCTTATGGGCCCAACGTTACAGCTGCCATTAGTTAAGAACGAAATTTTAAATCTCGCGCATGTGCGCGTTGAATATACCTTCTCAAAATTTTTTACATAGTTGTTTCATGAGTTCCTGTACTGCAGCATAAGCAGGGCCTCTCTCTACCGTAGGTTTTGACACACCAATTTCCCGTTCTACAGTTTTTACCGATGCATTAGGGTTTTCGTCGTTTCTGTCGCGATTTTTATTTTCAGTGTATCCGATTCTAGGCTGTTCGAAGGCCCCATGATTAATTAAATTAACTACGAATATTCTAAATTGCGTTTTATGGGGCTGCGGTGGTTCAGGATACATCTCCAAATATAGCGCTGAAGTAATGTCGGCTTTTCTGTTTGACTGCAAGTACAACGCTAACATGTCAAATTTTAAATCATTTGAATTTGTTTGTTCCATTCATGATTTTAATGAGATAAAACGGACTACAAATACAACTTTAGTGCTTTAAATTATTTAACGTCAAAGTCAGAGCCCTCTTAGTGAGACATCGTTAAACTCGAAATTTTACGCTCTTTCCAAAACTCGAAAAATCCAATATAACGGCCATATGAAAAACGAAAGTTAATGCGGATTGCGACAGAACAAAAGCCGATTGATACATACAATAATGTCACATTTTGACAGCTGTCAACTTAACCGTGTTCTTGCTTATCTACAGAAATATATTGATGAGTGAGTCAGTTCTGCCCCATACTTCAACTCTAAGCCGTAGATCAAAATTAACAGAGCTCGCGTGCTAAAGAGTCGGAAGCATAGTAGGGTTGAAGGCCTCTGTTATTGTTTAAGGCACGTCGACCGACAGAAATGCGGCAGTGCATCAACCATCAGCAAATAGGATCTGAGAACGAAGAACAAACAGGGAGACCGCCTCTCGACTATGGGATGCGTAATTGTGTGTGTGTGTGTGTGTGAACGTGATCCGAATAGTAGATAATTGTAACAAAACGAAAGTACACACAACGGTCGCGCAAATGATAGATAACCCGTTAGATAATTACCGTCAAGAACGTAATCGGTTGGCGATCATTTCATTCCTTTATATTATTTCATATGTGTAAATTGCTTGTTTCGCTGCAGCAAACCGATTCTTCGAAAAACGCGGCAGTTTTATTCCGCGCACGTTCAACTCGCACAAAAAAAACTGCAATTATGTGTGTGCACGGTCTTAATTGTAGGCAAAAACGAATGGGAATGCTTGTAAAATATTGGAAAAATCTTGACGTTTCATGTAATCCTGACATCGGTTTTCTGGTACAGACTTTCGATTCGTCAATAACGGCGTTGATAAAAACTTTTCCGACAATTGCGCCGGCACCAGCGTACGCACAGGAAAAGTTATACACATTTCACAACTGCCACACTAATACCGACAAATGTGTACAAACCTCCAAATGACCTACCCCTGTGGCACATCTCTATTGAGCCAGTATTCACTTCATGCACAATCGTCGACAACTCATTTTCTTAATGATGAATATGTTCAGGAACCAGAAAATCACTTTGTTTTGCTTTTAAATTGGTTGATTTGATTGTGGTTCGATTTATAATAAAACTCTTGCGGACTAAACGATGCATATGTAAAAATCAGGGAAGAAATAAAATATTCTTATTTACTCGCTACTTAAAATACCCTGATATTCTGACATAGAGCGTTCGGAAAGTGCCACTTTTCGATAACATTTTATTCAACCCTGAGCTTTCCTAGAATTACATACTTATCTAGAATAATCAATACGGAATCACCAGCCTTGCTAGGTTCCCAGTACCTGCCTGACTTGCCTGTATCCAATGTTCATAATAGCATTAATAGTAAAGGGGCGAAATTATTTAAAATTATTGGAATATAATGAATATTATTTCATGCAACATGTGATGTGATTTATTGTGTATTTTATATTCATTACATGTACATGAACAACATAAAACGCTATTGCTGAATTGGAATTTCTTGCTACTATTTGTAAGCCCTAACTTTGATTTTTGATGTTGGAATATCCCACTTTCTTCGCGAAGTAAAAACAATTCGAACGAAACTAATCCTCCTTTGCACTCGTGGTTTATTGTTATACAACCAGATTTTAATATTTTTCTAGGGACAGCATTTCTTGAGTCCCAGATGGTATCTATTTAATTTTTTCGGCCTTGGTTCCTTTCGAATAGCGTAAACCAAAACAACGAATATTTTGAGTAGATATTGTAATTAACCTTACATGCTTTTATTGTTTAACGGGGCGATGGTTTGTTAGATACGAAACCTTTTACATAAGTTGTGAAATTTTTACGTGTATGAAGTGATCCCGCATAAAATTATGTTGGCCACTTAGCAAACATTTGGGTATGCTGCAATCCTACCAAAAATCACAAAAGTAACGGGGGCAATTTGAAGAAGCGGTAACTAACTTCTTATATAGTTTTTGAGTAGCGGCCAACATACTTTCAATTCCTTTGTTGTACAAAAACTTGCAATAATTGGTGAGTTTTAGAGTTAGAATAATTCGTATTCTTTCGAAAAATTCTACATTGTCGATTTTGCCAAAAAATTAAAATGAGAGCGGAAAGAAGAAGCGATAAGTTTTAAGAATTAAAGACAAAGATTGAAAATTTTTAAAAAGATGTTCATTTTCAGTTTGTATGTGAATTTTTTAGATACATTATTCAAATGTAAAATTTTGTAATGGTATAAATGTAGAGTAAAGAAGGTTGGAAGACCTATTTATTTGATATTTTATTATTTTAGTTTTTTTATATTCAACAATGTTTTAATTTTTAATCGTTAAATGGTTAAGTTCACTTAATTTTGCCTATTTGGATATAATATCTATTATATTGTACAAATCTGCTTTGAGGTTCTCGATTTTCAGCAAATTGAAAAAAAACACATGTTTCTAATCCATATTATCTACTTACTGTTACGCGACCACTTTTCAAAATTTGGGGAAAAAGTAAATTAATTTAGAATAAAGAATCAAGAAATAAACAATCAAGAATTGTAATGCTTTGATACCATAAAAATGACCCAAATATTTTCTATACCTGCTTATTTCCACTTCGAATTTGTTAATGATACAATAAATTATAAACCACATGGACAGATCCAGAGGCGAGCCCATGTTTTTCTCATTTGTTGTGACTTTTTTTTCATTATAACAAATTTTCTTAAATTAATTTTTGGAATCAACTTCTTTATCTGAACATTTTTGTGTCGAAATATCCCATTTTCCGTTTGGATCATAGATATAGTTGGACGTCTTTGGTTTTGACAGAATTGACGTGAAAGTGATATTTTCCAAATCGTCGGCCTCTCATGGCTTACTCCGTTAAATTTCATAGGTGATTTGACATTAAAAAAGTCATTTCTATCACAGCCGTCAATCCGAAATATGATATTACTACAGGAAGCTGTTTAGAATAAGTAGTTGATTCCGCGGTTTAAAAAAATATGGCGATATTTCTCTATTCACTTAAGTTACTTTAAGCTTTAATCCTTAGTGTGTTTTATTTTTGGGAACAATTTAATTAATTATGTTACTTAATGTACCTAGTTGGAAGTAATTTTTGTAAACAAGTTTTCCATATTAACTAATTTTGATGGCTGTCGGGCAAAAGTCGCATCCCGTTAAATTTGAACCTGCCCTGTATACTTACGATGAAACAATTAAGAATGCAAAGCAGACATATAAGCGAATCAGGTAACCAGATTAAATTCGGGTGTCGACCGAAATCTTTTGCATAATGTGATGCAAGTTTTTTATTGTTGATTTCTCTGAACCGTATATTATCGATTGCTTAATTATTAACAAAGGTCTCTATCATGTGTGGGCTGAATATTTATGTTTTCCATCGTACAGATACACTTCCTGATGCAAAGTAAGAGCGCGGTAGGTTTTGCTTTGAATATTTTTATTTAGTTAGTAGAAAATTACAAAACATACTATACTTTTTAGTATTTTTAAAATTTAACATTTTGTACAGATAACACAACTTTGTGCTAATTTGTGGCATTTAGCGCAACAGAGATCTTCCTCCGTCTAGTATCGTCCGTGTAAGTCATAGTAATCGTGTTGATGTGTGTATCCGTTGGAATAGGACGGGAGACCTTGATAGTCATCGTAGTATACTGCTGATTTTGGATATCCTGCAACAAGAAATTTAAAATAGCTTTGAATATTCTTCTGGATCTTCATAAACATAAAAATGTATTTATTTTCCTTTTTAAGTCTTTTATCACAATATACAGGGTAGTATAGCAATCTTAGGAGAAGGATAAGTCTGAATAGAGGAACATTATTACACAATTCAGTACAAAACATATTTCTTTCTCATGCATGCGAACAACTAATATATTAAAAATATGTGCACAGTAATTAAAATGCGGACCGCTGAATTGATTTACATAAGGTGTTATGCATGACCAGGTTAACAGGATTTGTGTATACAACAGCTATCAACAGAAATGCAGTATGCGGTTATAAACAAATTGACCTGAAATTATCCAAATGTATGTATGTCATAAAAATTTAACTTGTGCTTTATCTTTGAAAAATAAGTTGGAGAACTAGAAACCGGTATACATTCAAGGAAATTTTATTACTAAACTATATGAGATATTTCATTTCATACGTCAAGATACGTTCATCTAAGTCGGATGTAGGAAAGCTCGTACTCGTACATAATTATATAATACCACTGCAAACCCCACTGTTCGCAGTTGATATTTTTCATTTTCAAGCAGTACAACGGATGGATGAAGTTCTTCTTGAGATAAAACGAGAAGTTACCTACTAATTGCACTTTTAATAACAAATAGTTGTTATATAACATACCCTTGAATATGATTATAATACTAAGTTATGCATGGGTGAAGTTCCTCTTGAGATTAAGCGCACATTTGCCTATTAGAGAAGTTAATTACTAATTACACTTTTAATCAAAAATTGTTGCTATGTAACACTCACTTGCATTTTATTATAATTCCAAAAACGCCATATATGTACATACATAAGATGAGTGAATAAGATAAGATATTGTTTTTGAAAAGAGATAGGTAATAGCGTATCGTAAATAAATATGTTATGAATATTTATGATTGATACCTAATAATTTATAAAAATAAAATTTTCGAATTAAGCGGAAGATATTAATTCAAATAAAAATAGTCGCCGCTGTTTAGGTATGAAACAAATTTCGACTCGTGTTGTAAATAAGTTGCTTCTCCTACCGGGAGTTACAACATCCGTGGATATTAGGTATTCCAATACTTTATTAGAAAAGCAAGAATCAAATTTTCCTTGCTTTTGTGTTCTTCAAACACTGCTTCCATTTATTACATCAATTACAGTGCCAGGGCTCGGATCGACAATTCTGAAACGTTGCAACAGCAAAACAGTCTAAGTAATGCATTGGGAAACGCGAAATGATGGCCACCTACCTACTACCATCGCGGTCGTGACTGAAATTTATGTAACGGTCGTGAAGTTACATCAAAAGTTGGTATATTGCAAACCGAGATTTTGTGCGAAAAACGATTTGAATTAGCACGATCGCTACCGTTTGTCCCTAGATAATCAGCCAGCACGCAGATCAGCTGTTAAACTGCTCTTGATTTGATTGATCCGGGACGACTTGAAGTACCTAAAGATAACTTTATTTTCCTTTTTCAACAATAATGTTTTATAAGATATATTAAAACTGGTAATAAATAATTAACATTTACTTTTTATTATTTTACTTCTCTCCGATATATATTTTTTAAAAACATTTTGAAAACAATGCTCTCAGTCTATTATTTCGAACTAATTCAAAAATAAAAAGTTAAGTTAAAGCCTCAAAACATTCCCTACACGAGGCAGCAGAACCTAATCAAAACAAACTTATCAGAATAACTTTTATTCAATTCTTATCACCACATCTTAAATGGGACGCACAATACGATTGTGAGTAGTTTGTTTCGTTTTAAACTGATCTAAGACTTTTAACATGATATGCCACTGACAATAGTCTGTTTTTACAATTCAAAGTCTCGAGAAGATTTATTCTTAAAGATTTTAGAGATTCTATTCTATTTGTATATCAATCATATGGAGAAATATTTTTATTTGGTATAACTAATTTTATTAACAATGAAACCGTATTTTTCAGCATTACGCGATTATCTAGTCCGTTTGACATTTCTGCTCTTCAGTTTTATATGAAGTGGCAACTTCACTGTAAAAGTAGTAATTGCAATTATCTCTATATGACATATTTATATAATATAACAATTTAGTTGTCTTATAATATCGTTTTCGAAGAAAAGGCAACCTGAAAAAACTGAAAATGAAAAAAATCCTAGCTACTGGTTGATAAGTTCAAAATCAGATTAACTTCTAGGAAGAAGAAAGCTATAATTAATTGTTTAGTTTGGTAAACGGATATGGTCATTTTCCTTGCTTGGTCGTAATAGACACATGTAAAGCTGCAAAAAAATTTACGGATTTAGGATAAATACAATCCACTCGCTAATTTTGTGGTCTCTGTGGACAAATCTTACGACAAGGCGAATGAATGCGGGTTTTGAGTCAGTATTATTTTGGAGAAACCAAATTAATCGTCCTGTCCGATGCTAATAGGAAGCACACTCGATATTTGGCATTTAATTGAACCGGTTTAATTGTTCTTTTTTATCTTTTGAATTTTGTTATTACAACAGATTAAGTTTAATGTCAGACCAGTATTATTATCCGTAGGTCCTTGATATTTTAATAAAATATCTACCCGCAAATGCCTAATCCAGTTCTTGCGCCGGTCCATATAGACAATTAAGTATGGTAATGCGAAATGGTATGGCGTCTGCCTACCGAATATCCTTCAGACGAATTTTGGTGGCCGCGGCGTCGCAATAAGGCCCGATGACATTTAAAAAATGAAACAACTTAAAACGACATTCTTTCGGTTCCTATATGTTCGCTACTTGACGGATCAATACAGAGTGATTCAGTTTAATGAACGACGGTTTCACTTACGAAGGAGATGAACAACGTGCGTTTTACATTGTAGATCATTTTGACACAAGAATGGTACAAAATTTCAACCACATATCGGGGAACCTATAAGCATTGTTATGCCTCAGTGGGGTTTTTTGATTAATTGATTTTTTTTTGAAATTTCTGAAGAGAAAATAAATTTCTGCAAAGTTTTGTAAAAGAAAAACTGACACATCCAAATTTTAAAAAGGCTAATGATAATTCAAACAACAAAAAATAAGTTATCGCTAAAAGCTTATTTGTTTGTTTTTTTTTTTGTAATTCCTTTCTTTTTTTAATTTTGTGCTGCAAAAGTGAAATTTCAAATGGTTACTTTTGATTTTTTCACCCTGGTAATACTCCAAAATTCGTTAAAATGAAATAATTAACTTGACTGTATATGTTTGTGATATTTGAAATACACTTCTGCCCATTTGAGAAAATTACGTAATTCCAAAAACAATTTTTGAGCTCGCGTATGAAATAAAATGTTTGACAATTTCAATAAAAAATGGTTTTAGTTCTGATAAAAACAACTTTCATTAAAAATATTAAATAAATATGTTGTAAGATAAATTTAGATTTTCACTTAACATGGTATAGAGTATAAGATAACGAAAAATATCGATTTGCACAAATGAAATGTATATTACTAGGGAAATCCTATAATTTGATCATAATCTATGTTATCGCAAACGTTTGCGTTATTGAATATTGCGATTTGAAAAAATGTAGTATCCTTGTACAGTTTGGTATTTCTCTTCTATGCCCGAAGACCCGGATTTTGCGACTCCATTTTTACTATTTAAATAACACGTCGATTAAGCAAAAAGAATTTTAATAGGTATAATCATTGGACGTGGCTGGGTATTATAGTATCGCTAAATCGGTCTTTAATGCAATTGTTGTATAAATTTCATTTTTATCTTCTCAGAAAATATAATAAAATGGCGAAAGGGTTGATCACTTATTTTCAGTTCTTTACGAGGTCTGAGCAATTAGTGAATTATAGCGATATAACAATATAATAATATACTTTTTTGTTTGTTTCTGTTTCTACATGGTTTTTATAAACTTGCCACCTTTGCAGCTTTTGCAATTATATGGGGGATAGCGAAAAGACGGAAATGGCAGGAAAATTTATTTAGATAAAAAAAAGCATTTTCGCATCAATATTATTGTAATTACCTCTTCCGATTAAAAAAAAAACATGAAAAAGTTTGAAATATTTGAAAAAACAGGTTCCTTGACTTTTTGCTAGTATCTTCAAAAATTTTAAAATTACTTTTTTTAATTCTAGTGATGGTCGCGCCATCCATCAGGACGTTGCCGTACTGTACTGGTACTCACCTAGAGAGGTCGTATATTTTATAACCGGTTTTTGGTACTCGAATGTTGGTTCGTAACTAGGCAACGACTTAACGATGGGTACCGATTTGACCACCGACGGCACCACCTGTTTGCCGTACGTCGGTACTATCGGTTTCACGTAGGTGGGTTCCAAGTGCGGCACGAGCGGCTGTTGCGGTTCCACGTGGACAGATGGCGCGCTTTTCGACACGACAGCGTTAAATCCGTTAACCGGATCGGCGACGTAGTCTACAATCCTTACGGAACCGTCCGGTTCCACAAGCGAGTACTGCCCTTTGACTACTTCTCCTTCCCGAACTTCGGTTTGCGTTTTATGATCACCAGTGTGTGGGTCTGATACGCCATATTTGAAAGCGTATTGCGGATGGGCCTTAAATTATATTATCATATTACAGATCTGAACTATAGTTAATATCGCATATTATCAATTATCCGATTGAACTCTGACCAAAAAATGTAGATCCTGTTGCTAGTAATGCTAATTTTAGCAAAGAAATAAATTATTTTTTACATTATCGTTCAAATAAAAGCAACAAAAACCCGGTTTTTGATGAAATTGAACACTGTTGTGTAAAATTTGTGAACGTTTGAAATTTCATTTTTATGAGTAAAGTAAAAACTAAAAAAAAGTAAATACTTGTCTTCATTCGTAATGTAGGAAGCCGAATTGTGCTGAAACGGTATTTGTTTTTTAAAATTTATATTTTAAAGAAAAAAGTTTTGGATTTACTTTCTTCATTTCTATGTTTTCAAAAAATAATCTTTTGGATCTGTTCGATATATTTTAATTTTTGTTAATTCATTTTTTTTTATGTCATTCAAAATTATTTAAGGATAACTGCGACCTATAACAAAATTATACTTACGTAATAGTCTATATTTTCCTCTGAAGCATATTTGTGGCCTGCAGGTATCGCGTATGGCGAAATAGCCCCCCCGTATATTCCGGGAACTAGTATGGTCAGCGTCACTATGAGGAGCTAAAAAGTATATACGTACGTGTTAATCATAAATAATAGTCAATAATTTCTTTGTTTACATTTTGTAATTAATGTGCCATTATAGATCACCGTTTGAGATTATGCTAAAGCATTCTACTTGAAATAAGAGAGAGGAAGTTATAAACTGTGAAGAATCAATTAAACGATTATTCTTAAGTGTTTATGCTTATTTATTACGTATGGTACGTTTGCGTATTTTACAGTGTGATTGGAAAATAACAGGCGCCAAATGTAAATTGTCAAGGATTCATTGAGAGTTAGTTGTATTAATAATTCTAAAGAACTAACAAACAAGTTGCCAATAGTCGGAAATAACTTGCAAAGCATATGCATTATGACGCTTAATATATACTATTTCTTTTGAGTTAGGTCAATAAAAAATTCATAAAAAATTATTAATAATGAAAATTGTTTCTGCTACAATTAAAGCAAAATCGATTAAACTTGAACTCAAAACTACTTGTAAAGTGGCCTTTTCTCACAGTGACTAAAGTGAAGAAAAGCGAATGTTGTCGTCCTCATAAAGCACTGGGTATAGAAAGTAAAACTGTTAATTAGTTCATTCAGTAAAAATAATATTTTGAATAAAGAATAGGACGTAACCTGACTTTCCCGTTGGTTTTGTATTATTTATAGTGTCGTGTTTTATATTATTTATTATTATTACATTACAAAGCAAGTACCTTCATATTGTTCAATTTGCTCAATTGTTCAAAATACTATTTATAAACTATAACTTTGTTTGTACCGGTTTTGAAAGCTGAGAAATAATTTTAATGTTTTTAATTAAATTGTAGGAAAGTTCTAGCCAAATCTAACAAATATAATTATAATTATATCGCTTGTAAATTGGCAACAAAGTTAAATATACCATATTCCCTTTGTCAATAGATCAGCCGACGTCAAACAACCTGTATACAATTCGTTTTGGCTAAATTAATTTCGCTTCCCATTTAAACACTTTGTTTTCAATATATAAGGTGTCCAAGTTAAAAAATTGAACTGAGATAGCTTTCACTTGATGAAAATCCATTTATCAAAATAAATAAGAACTAAAAGTTCAGATTTTCACGAAATTATATATTTTGACATGACAATTGTTTCGACAACACCCTGTCTTCATCAAATGTAATATTTACAAACTGCCTGCTACTATATATACGGAAAAATGACCATAAAACCTTAATTAATGTTGTTGTGAGAATTTAAGTTCAATAAAGGAGAGGTATTTAAATCTAATTGATCGCTAGGCAATACATTCGAATGTCTCATTTTGTTATGGCTTCCAATAAATTTAATTTTCTACTTTTTTGTGGCTGTATGCAAAATATCAAAATTGTCGTCAAAAATGTGTTTTTCTGTGTTTATGTGTAGCATAATTAGAATCTAAACTATTGTTTTTAAACGCTCTTTAATGTTCGTTAATGCGTTTCTTGAAGGGTCTACCTGTTTGTCCAATATAAATTTTAGGACAAGATATATATATATATATATATATATATATATATATATATATATATATATATATATATATATATATATATATATATATATATATATATATATATATATATATATATATATATATATATATGTATATATATAGACACCTGATTTTTGAGATTTTGGACATTTCGTTTTATTGTTTTTTAAAAATTTTCCTATTGTGTTGTTAGTTCTGAAAGCTATTTTTAAACCATATTTTGACAAAGGTTTTGAAACTTTTTCACTAGGTTCTCCTATGTATGTAATTGTTTTAAATTGTTCGTGTTCTGTATTAGGTTTCGGATAAATAGAGTTTACTGTCTGGATTTTTTTTATTTATTGAACTTAAATTCTCATAACAACTTTAATTATGGTCATTTTTCGGTATATATAGCAGCAGGTAGTTTGTAAATATTACATTTGATAAAGACACGGTCTTGTCGAAACAATCGTCATGTCAAAATAAATAATTTCGTGAAAATCTGAGCTTTTAGTTCTTATTTATTTTGTCCAAGTTAACTTTTTAAAATGTGGTTAATAATCTAACTTCGAATTTGTTTGAATTATTATTCTAGCTGCATGACTTCTTCAATTGCTTTCAACAAATTTTTGCTTATCTCTCGTCCATTCCATCCTTTTTGTTAACCTCACATTTTATTTTTCACGTTTATTCATTTTGTCTTAATTTTATATTATAATTTTTGTTGTTGAGCGGAGTTCCTTTTATTTAGCCATTTGTGGTGGCAAAAAGTTTTCTCTATGAGACTACCGATAATGATAACATTGTATTCTTTAAGGTTGCAGCCCAAGCTTACGTTAGGCAACGCGCGATCTTACCGAAGATCATTGTTTATTGTTATGAGTTTCCAAATAGCGAGAATTTCTCCGAGATAATTACCGACGTTTAGTGAATGTTTTTATTTAATTTTTTTCGAAACACACTCACACGCAGTAATATTTGTTTCGCAATTGAAACGGGGTCAATTCCAAAGCACAAGGTAATATAATTATCGTAATCTGATATTTTCGAAGCTAGCGGTCGCAAACGGCATTAATTTGCTGGGGTAATCGCTTATTAAAAGTGCTATCCATTTAGTTTGATTATCGTCATTTAAAAACGTGCTGAAAGAGTTCAACTAACTAGATGATTGCGTTGATTGCTTGCATTTCTTCGTAATCAGTCCATCTATACTATACAACGATTATATTTTCTCTCAAAATATTAAGTTTATGCATATTTCAACTCTGTTTCTGAAGGTTTAGGTTAACGGGTCAACTAGTAGCACTCGAAATGATGTTTTGGAAATAGTACTGCCAAATGTCACGAGGGCAAATTCAGAAAACTCTGACTTTACGAGTTGGGAAAAATCATAACTGATAAGGTACTTACAACATTTTTTAGTATGTGGTAAATAATTAAATATTTTAACTAAAAAAAACTATCTGCGGGCTTAGAAATAGAAAATATCACAAAGATGTCGTAATGGTTGCTATAATGCAAAATGGCCATACTATATGATGTACGAAACTTAGTGTAGTCTGTTACTGTACAAAAGGCCAAGTAACTCGTTTTTATTCATTCCCGTTATTCGGAAATGACATTAGATTTTGGAAGATGCTAACATTGTTTTTTAAAGTTGGTGTTGTTTTCTTCCCTTCGAAGCATTACTGTATTACAGTATATGGTGCGTTACCAGTTTACGACAAAAGGAATTATTTTGCAATCTTTTTAATAGGAAAATATTTGAAGCACCAACCTTGGCTCGCAGTATTTCAAGTTCAACCACAAACAGCTAAATACTATTAAACTAGAAAAAGAGTTTTTTGGCCTATAACTTAGAACAGAATCTTTTGTGAAAGCCAGTTTAAAAATGTGAATGGATTTTTAGCTATATAAATAATTTTGAAAAAATAAAATTAAAAAAATTGTGACAATTAGGTATTATTTGATTTAATTAATGTGGCGAATCGATATTTAAATAAGAAAGAGCGTTTGAAAGTTTATTTTATTTTTTTATAACTTTTTTTTATTATAAACATAAATAGCGTTTATACCTACCTACCTAGAGCAATTAAATTGCGCTTTTTAACAACTTTGAGGGGATGAAGTTACCTTAAATTAAATGCATTGTTAGCGCTACACCAATAAACAATTAAATTGACAATACATGTTATTATAACACTTCTAACATTTTTTTAATACAACAATTTTAGTTTAATTAAGTCAAAAATAGTTTTGCTTAAATCAAACACATTGGAAAAAAATATTTCTTACTGAAAGCATTTCAAAATATGTAAAAATAGTTTAAGGCGTTCTATTAATCTGATATTTGGATAATCTGTTTTTAATGTAAGTGACAAATAATGTACATTAAATCTTTATTTTGAAAATCAGACCTCATTTAGCAAATAAATCGAACTTGAGTCGATAATTCCAATGCATGTTGGTTAAAAATGTTCCGCTTTGTTGCCACTCTGTTACCCCACTGTTTACACAAAGTGCACATAAAACGCATAAAAAATGCAACCAAATTATGCACAAATTGCTTGACCAAAATGTGTTATTGGGGATCTATTTTTTAATCTAAATCACTGTAATGCACCACTCAAGCAATCCAGATAGTCCAAGGGAAATCAGAATGTCACAAAACCACTAACGTGTCACCCAACTGACGTGAAAAATTTTTACCTTGCACATTTTGCCTTTGAAGGAAACGACTGAAAGTGAATCGGAAACTTGACTGACAATGGTTTGACGCTCAACAGTTCTTTATACGTCTACTTAAAGCGTTTGTGAATTTTCTCGACCCCACCACCCAAGAACCTATTTTCGCGTGACAAAGGGAGTTTGAAAACTATGCGTAACACTCCATGACAACTTGCGTATTTTGGGTGATTAATAGATGTATTGTTTGAATTTTTCGAGATCATTGTGCAGAGACATAAGTTGTTACGTTAATAATAAATCATAAAGATATTCCCTCATCGTGGAAATTTGGTATGTCATCACTTTGTGTATAAAAGTTTTAAGTTTTAAAATTTATTAATCAATTAATCTAAATATTAAATATTTTAGTTCGATTGGAATATTCCACACGAGATAATGGGTTATTAAATTTCACACTTTGTGGAAAATTTCCAAAAGGCTGAAACTTGTAAATCGCATAACTGATCAACTCAATATTTTCGCCTGTCCGAGGCGATTACTTTAGCACCTTGAATGACGTCCGTTAATCATCTAAATGGAGGCAATTTTATGCTCGGTTTGGCGATAATTCCATCATTTAAATAATGCTTTTCAACTGCTATTGTCGACAATTAACCAGTTATATTTCATGAATTAATCATTATTTCTTTCTTACTCTTCTCTCTCAAAATTGTTATTTTAGGGATCCTGCGATGATCAGTTTTATCCAAGAAGTTTGAAAGAAATAATAATTTTTAAAAGAAATTATTTGGAATATGAAGTATAAAATATATTCTCAAGTTAACTCGGCATTAGAAAATCAATTTCAAAAGGCTTGCCTTGCCGGTACTTTTAAGCCATGGCCTAAAATTGTATTAGATAACAAACGAACAAAAGAAAGAAAAATTGTAGAGAAAATTGCTGTCAATGTGTACGACGTAGGTACTAGCACATGTCAATTGAATCATTCATATCAATATAGTAGTATTATATAAGTTAGTAGCATATTCTTTGACATTTTTAGTTTTATTTTGTGAGGTAATAAAATTTGTGACAGCTTGATGCAACGTAACGTAGCGTTAAAAAAAGTACCGATTGGTCTTTGGCAGGGCATCATGATTGGCAAAATTGCAGTGATATTTTTGGAAATTCAGTAAGACAATGCCACCAACAAATGGAAGTTTTACAGTGGACAATTTGGTTACTATTTCATTTACGCAAATGCGTCGAGCTATGTTCCGGATGTTTGCATTCTCATTTTCTTCTGGCGATCCATTCTATTTGCATGTCTTTGCTCCTTCCACGAGGAAGTACCGCACATCTCTTATGGTGAGTTCAGTTAGTAGCTCAGTCTCCTAGTATTCTGCGCTGAATGAATGAGAGTTTTTTCCTCTTCTACGTGTCCTGTAAGGATTTCAACCAACACGCAACTGATGCTGAAAGCTAACTTTTGGTTAGCGTGGAGGGTCCCTTAACTAGGGCCCTCGATTGCCTCAGTCCCGGAAGACTCTCCCAATTGAGAAAGAACTCCCTTGTAAAGCATTTATTTCCCTCCACTTGCTTCAAGTTAGAACATTACTTCCGCATCCCAAGCCATTCTATTAGCCGTCTCACTGCCCTTAATAACTATATGAGTGGGTATCCAAAAGAAACTAACACAACCTTTGCTGACTTCGCTGCCTGATCTTTCCACGTATTGAGATCTCTCCTTTACAAAGTCGTATCCATTCCCGACAATTATTCTATCCTCAAATGAATAAAAGTTACTGTTTCATCTTGTATAAACCGAACTTTAGTATTCCTAAGTAGTTTGTTATTGCATTACGTGAGCTTCGCGTCAAGGAAACAGGACCAACGTTACCAAAGATAAAATTTTAGAGATCTGCGCTGATAGAACCATTGCATCATAGTATCAAGTTCACTGGGAACAATAAATCTTTTTGACGCGGCGTGTTGTATTGTTAACCCGAACCAGTGCCGCACAATCGCTTGGCTAATTAGCGAGGGAATATAACGGACCAAAACGTTTCGTATTTTCAGGCATAGTTGCGTCAGTCGTTTGGGAAAATTGCGACAGCGTTTAAGGTGTTTGCGTTTGGTCTCGCGGATTTAACGTTAAACTTTGCTGTTTTGTCATTTTCTCGTTCTCACTACCAAATGGACACAAGAGTTGGACTAGTGTTAGGGCTGGTCAATTTTTTATTTTTAATATAAGTTATTATGCGTTTGTGACGTCCAATTTAGCTATAACCCTCTTCAAGAACTACCCGAATAGGATACTTAGCAAATTTGGGGAATGCCAATAAAAATATCCACTCCATTTAGTTCTCAGAACAACGCGCACAATATCAATAAATAAATATAAATTTCATTTTATTTTTAAAATTATTTCGGTCAATTGACTGGTCAATTGACACAAAAAAAAAATAGAACAGCCAATTCCACAACGCTATGCTTAATGTATGGTAACTGGCTCTGGAAATAAATTACCATATTATCATTTGAGGTAAAATGAATGAAAACTTATAATTGGCATTATGATCTATATCCACATGATAAGAACTTCAAGAAGTTATTGAAATAAATACTATTCTATATACTATACAAATAAATACTAAATATCCTAATTATTGCTTCTAATTAGTCTAACATAGGTTAGCTTCTATTTGTTAAAATGATAGTCTAATAGTGGTTGTGCGTGTAACCGACGACTTTCGGTGTTGCCGGATGATAAGACGGTCCTATTTTTTTAACCACCGCGTTGAAACCGTTGACATCATCGGAAGTATAAGACACCACCCTGATCGACCCGTCGGGTTCCGCCACTGAGTACGAACCTTTCACCACGTCACCGTCGCGAACTTCGACGTGAGCTTTGTTGTCTCCGGTCAGGAAATCTGATACACCATAGTTGTAAACGTATTTTGGATGTGCCTAAAAACATTCCCCACGATACTAATCTTTTTTATGCCCCTGTCCGTATGAAATATGGCTCCTCAAATAAAACAATGTTACTCAATTTTTATTATTACTCCCTCTTTTTAGGATGCTTTTTTCGATGTGTATTAGAAAATGTATCTGGAATCGTAAAAAGAATCTGCTCTAGATAAAAAAAAAATCTGTTTTTTTTGGGTTTATGGTTTAAAACGAACTAATTTTAAATTTTTTGTTTTTGCTAATTCTAATCTTATACTTTCTCACACTAACTTCGTAAAGTAAGTGATCCAAATATACTACTGTTTACAATTCTTGTTGGTTCCTCGTGCGTCAATTGTTGATGAATCGAACTTGCTGTGGTTTTGGTTCTTCACTTTTCAGTTAAGCAAGTCGGTAAAAATACTACATTTATCCAATCATAGACTAGGTGCTTTTAGTAAAAATTGACAAATAATATAAAAAGAAAAAGTAGAAACATTTTCTTTCAAAGTTTCTATCTGAAGCAAATATTCTAAAAAAAAGTACTGACGAATTTGTGTTCTCTTACTTTAACAAAAAGGGAAGATATTACCAAAAACGGTTAATTAAGATACGACAATTAGGAATTACTTACATAATAATCTATTTCATCTTCGTTTGCAATATAAACGATAGGGCTATGGCCATATCCCTTATGCGGTATTGATGGTGTGACATATCCAGCATTCACAGATGCCGCGATCAATATAGTTGTAATGATGGCAGTAATCTACAATAATAGATGATAATGGAATTTCAATATTTGAATATCGTTAAAATGGTTATACTAAATGCATGTAAATCAACATCTAACTTCTTCCTGATGTTCTGGTGGAAGCACCTATAAATGGGAAAATATTATACCGGCGGATATGGTGCGTGGTGGGTTACAGTAAACAGAATAGATATTTTTGTGGTCTTTCAAAAATTAATTAAAATTAATTAATTTTTTTGCTTAGTAAAACAAAAGTAATTTGTTTCTTTGCCAGTGTTTTGAAGTTGTGTCACCTCATCCTCAGAGCACAATCATTCATAATGATTTTAAAAAAAGCGCTTATGTTTATCCTACTTACATATGTTTATTTGGAATATCTGTAAATGCTACGTTTACTTTCTAATCAATTTGTGTATTGTCTCTATGCCGACTAATCTAAAAATTCTAATACATTCCTTCTAAAAATAAGCACGACGAAAAGCATATTAAAGAAAATACTAGGCATTATTTTTATGCCTCGTTCTGTTTGACCTTTAATGTTGTGATATTTGTTTCTCGGTAAAAACAATGACAAATTTTAATTCTTTAGTGATAATCCCGATACTTAGAGGTGAACTTAGCGCTACAAGCTCGTTTTGCGAAGTGGTAGTAAATATATCGAATATATTCAAGTTTGGTATATCACGACCGCAGTTCAACGAGATAACATACGAATATATAAATATATTGTGTTGAGCTTTTTGTGGTTGTCACTGCGGTTTTGAAACAAGAGCACGAACTCAAATCTTTCTAAAATACCAATCAAAAGATTTTATTTTTTTTATGATTCTAATTTATTTCCCATTGCTTTCCGTTGTCATCCCACACACAAACTAACCAAAACTAACCAAAAATCTTTAGTATTGGACATTGTTTATTACAATACAAAGTTGACTGTAATTTTATGTTAGAAGCGCTTGAAAGAAATGGTAGAAAACCTATTATCTGTACAAACATTTTTTCCCAATATCTACATTTGTGGCTTTGCTTTCATATCTTTGTTAATTATTATAAGATGGGATTTTAAAATTTGGTTTATTAATTGTTACGGCTCTTTAAAAATATTAATAAATGACATAGCAATAAACACGTTTTATATAAAAATTTTAAAATATTGAGGGTTATTTGAAAAAATAATTGAATAATATACCTTTTAGTTTGTTGTTGAAATTTCAAATTGATGTCTCCATACTTGAAAAAACAATGATAAATATATTTTTTAGTTAATAACCTGACGTTTTGGGCAGATGGATCACTATCCTTTCTTGTCGGAGTTTTACCATATATCCGATGCATTGTGAAATTACGTCAAACTAAAGTCAATGAAAATAAGATGTTCTTTTAGTTGGAATTATATATAAATTTAAAATAATATTTAAAATAAAAAAAGACCAAATCTATTCCCAAATTTCATTTAGACGTCTCGAAAATAATAAGCACGTTTTCTGTTTAATATTTTCCGCACAATCATAAGCTGCAAATCTTACCGATACCTACAAAGTGAATCAGATTGATAGGAGCTAATACAAACACTGCGAAAGGTTTCAACTCACTTGAGCAATCGTCATTTCGCAGAATCCGCTGAAGATCTTCAGGTTCGAACAATAGACTGAAACTCTCGCCCCTTCCGTTATTGTTTATATATAGTTTTTTCGTTCTTTGAAACCGCCTCCAAGGTCCCGATACTTTTCAGAATTCTAATAAAAACCCGCCTTACAATACGTACTCACGCTGAAAGTACAGTAATTAACATTACTACAGACGTAGTAATGAATGGACATTATACGTCCATCTAGTTTTGTTTTCTCCGATGGATTGAGCAACATATTCAATTGCGCAAGGGATTGTTTCAGTAATAATGGCCTAATATGGTGCATCTTCAGCTATTAGTCTTAAAGAATTATATAGGGTGATTCAAAATTCAATTCAAAGATTTTAACATGAGTCCTAACTTGTGTTTTTTACATGATGATTTGTCATCATAAGGGTCTTTATTTTTTATTTATTTATAGGTATGCCACTAACGTTTTACAAAATGTAATATTTTTTTTAGACCAGGTAATGAAAAGGCCACTTTTTTTTCCTTTCTTTTTGTAGCTTCGCCTTCAAAACAAAAAATGCATATTCCTGGACTTGCCGAAGAAATCAATTTTATATTAATTTTTCTACGAATTTTACTTCAATATTTTAATGAAATAAAACTTTTTTTGTTTTAAGTAGAGCAAAGTTTATTAACGCTGTTTCCAATATATGATCAAAAATCCTTTTTCTCGAATTAAGTTATTATTGGAAATCAGTTTAGGTTAATTTATCTTATACTCATCAGAACCTAATTTCATATATATATAGCCTTGCAATAACATGATTATTATTAGATTATTAATAGTAATTTAAAGAAACTGCCAAGAACAAATCATAGAAGGAATTTTTTTATACCGTTAAGGATTGTAATCAGTATCTCAGTTTGCAAAATTCTGTTTATGAAGAAATATCTTTTATTCATTTTTAAATATAACTTTATTTTGTGTTTTTTACAGCAGTTTTATTTCTATTAAATGCCTTATCTCCACAGCACAAAATTAAATATTTTTTAATTACAAAATACTACTTAATTTCTCCAATGAATAATTGGAGTTCCATTTACAGACTATAAATAAATAATATGTTTATGCGACATGAATGATAAAGATATAAATTGTAACATAGTAAATAAGTCGCATTAAAAATATTACTAAAAACTAAAAAAGTATTATTTCCAATTCTGAAGGAGTCATATAATATAAATACAAATTGTGTCCCACAAAATAAAACATTCGCAATAAATACTGTGATTTTAAATACCATTTAGTTCTATACTATGGATATATGTATCAAGATCACACTTTTAGAATTAGATAAAATTAACTTTTTACCAAATGGATCCTTGTACAATATTTACATATGTTTAGAGTTTTACTGAGTTCCTTAACTCCCGAAAATTTGTATTCTAAACAGATTATATTGGGATTATTACGAAATTTTCCTTAATGTGCTAGTAATAACCACGAATATCAGGTTGTTCGTGATGTATTTCATGATCGCTGTCCAAAACTGATGGTGTCTTGTGCACAACTGCGTTGAATCCATTATGCTTATCGGCGGTGTACTCTACAGTTCGTATGGAACCGTCTGGTTCCACCACCGAATATTGTCCCTTAACTGTGTCTCCGTCTCTCGTTTCGTGCTGGCTCTTAATATCACCAGTGTGGTAGTCAGTCACACCATATTTGAATGAATACTTCGGAGGTGCCTATAGAAAAAGAATTGGGTATTATTATAATCTAGTAGTTTTGGCACAAGAAATTGTTAACTGTAAATTATTATTTTTCAAATTTCATTAAATCTACCTACACGTAATATGTAGGTAGGAGGTAATATACCGCGTGGCCATTTCAAAAATTGATTACTAAAGAGGACAAGAGAAAATTTCAAGAATGGCCGCCATGGGGGTAATAATTTTATATTACCAGTAGGTAAATCTTGACACCGTTGTAAAGCTGGGATAAATTCGATTCTTTTTCGTTAAATGGTTTTTGCCCTATTATGGGAAAGTGATGGGGAGGGACTTTTTCGGGAATAAATGTCGATAACTTCCGAATGGCTAAACGCACTTTGCCAAACTTGGAGTCGTTGACCAGGGCTGCTTTTAAGCTGCCAACGCTGTCCTAAGCAGATTGATTTAGATTTCCGGTACTGCGAGTAGAGGGCATTTTGCGACATAACCAAAAAAACTAAATGGAACGAAATTGTTATTGTAAAATAGAAGTCTAACACAGTAGTATTTCGATATCTTTTTCCTAACCTTTAATATTGATAAACACACTAAAACTCGAAATAATGTCGCATTTTTGGGAATATTTTCAGTTTATCTGCGATAATTAAATCCAAATGTTCGTAGTTTTAGCCAAATACATGTATATTTACTGGGATTTAAATTTCAAGACTGACATTCTAGACATGTGATAATAATTTCCAGCATTTTCTCTTGGCAGCTTTAGTTTTCTAATCCCAAATCTACAACGATTACTTTTAGCAGAGTGGTTAATATTAGGATTACAGAATTCGGCTTTTTACACTACTGTCTTAATTTTTCACATCACCAAACAACATTTTGGAGGACTAGCGCTTCCTTTAAATTCTATATTATGTATAGCAGTATATTCTATCGAAATCAAAATCTATAGAATAGATATTTTTACTAATGGCAGATAACTGTAATTATACCAATTATATTTATTTATACATTTTTCTACTTTAGGGGCAAAGCGTATGTTAACGCGTTATTTGTGAATTCGTTTCAATCGTTTTTCTCTGTGACTTTTTTCGACGGTCACAGCCTACTATTCCTGGTGTTATGTGTAAACAAACGGCGAAACAAAGTTCTTTTTGGTAACTGAAGCGCTTACTACCTACGAAATAGTACATTATCTGAATTTGGTTTATAAATAAATATTAACTCATAAACATAAATCCCATCTAATAACGAAAATTATTAATTTGATCGCATCGTTTGTATCATATGGTAAAAAATAAATAAGTGATTCGGTATCATATTGATTGATTGATAAAAATAAATTTTAAAAAATTGCCACTTTTTTATGAAATTAACGTTAGAAAAACCTTCGATATTTTGAATAAGCATAACAAGCTGCATGTGCTTTTTCCGAAAGTTTTCTAAGAAGTCCGATTATAATAAATTTTGTAACAAACAAAATAGAGCAAGATAATAATAAATAAATCATTTCAGCAAGTAAATAAATAAAGTAGACAAATAACTAGATCATTTACACCCTTTTGTTGCTATTTCAGTTTAGATCGAGTTTACGGCAACCCTCAAACATCCTGCACAGAAAGTAAGGAGTAATTAGGAAGCATCGTATTTCGACTATGCAGGCAGGAGTGTAGAATTTTTTTTGTATTTTGGGAATGTGCGATGAAGGTACACTTAGTTCTTTTTCTATATTGAAATCATTATTTTCCATTTTTTTAAATGTTATTCGCTAATAAGGCATGTGTAAAACATTCTTAAAGTAGCGCGATACCGCGCAGTTTAATCTTTATTGTACCTTACAGAAAACAATAAGCCTCAATTTGACACTAGAAACGCCGTGTTATATAACTATGGTCATTCAACGCAGATGCTAAGCAGATGTGTAATACATTCAAACGCAATTTCCCCAATAAAAAATGTTAAATCTGCATGCGTTTTCTATTTTTATAATAACGAGCTATACTGAGCTAACTGAGAATAGCAATATTACGATTTTATTGTTAAATTCTTTATCTTTGTCGATGTGCAAAGAAATATTTTCTACCCACATAATAGTCTATATGCTGATCATCGCTGACAGGTTGTTGGGCATATTTTGCTGGTAGCTGCACGTGTTGAATGTGGGTATCGTGCTGGACTTCGCCAAACTCATCTTCCCCGTGATACGGATTGTGGTTGATGTAGTTGCCGTCGCTATTCGGAATATCTTGATATACGATTTTGGGGTAAGCCAATCCGGATGACAAGTACGCCATACAAATTCCAATCTGGAAAAGAAAAAAAGCTCTCTTGCAAAAGCTGTTGTACTTTATATAATTTATCATGTGTTTTTAAAATACCGTTTTTTTGAATTTTAAATATCATTTTGGCATGGTGTTAAAATGGCATGAAATTTTTTTATTTTTTTAACACGGCTTAGTTAGTTTCTTAATAACCGGTTTATTTTTCATCAATAATTTTTAAATAGATTACTGCGCAAATTTTTTTCACTTACACTAAATCTGTACTCTTATTTCCTTATCTTATATGCACTATATGTACCCTAAATACTTCGGTCCCAACTTGGAGTCATTAGCTTCTGAAGGAAATATAAATTGGAAATAATGCAACAACGAAAATAATGATGAAATGATTTATTGTATCATCATAGTTCCAGAAATATGCTTCATGTGAAGTAAGAGTTAAAACTATTGTTATTCCAATTACGTTACACGAAGTATAAAAAAACTATAAATTTAAGAATAAAATACTTTGGTTAGAAGAAGAATCGTTGATGTAATAAAATTATAAATAGTAATGTTCAGATTTAATTAAAAAGCTTTAGGCCTAAGTATAACGGTAGATTAAAATAAAGCAACCAGTTACATATTTACTGTTCTGGAATTTTAAAATAAGTATTTTGAAATAATTTTGTATACGGCAAGACGAAGGAAATAATCACTAAGAACTGTTGGCTGGCTGGCTATATTACAAAGAAAGATGGATGCAAAATGCATGTTGATATATCAGCTGAAATTCAAAGTATTTTTTTCCAATTTTAAGAAAATATGTTTCCTAATCCAGTGTCGCAAAATAAAAATAATGCCGTACTAGAAGTTTGAGAACGATTTAAGGTAAAATACTATTCGTTTCCATTCATTATTAAAATGTGTTCCGTTGATCTGATTATAAATTATTTGCGTTTGGTTCGAAAAATATGTACCTGCGCAATAAGTTGATTCTGCTGAAAACTACGAATGTGCAGGATTTTTTCTAGTCGCAAGTGTAGCGTAAACTGTGTTTTTCTCCTCCTGTCTGTAAAATGTCTGTAAAGCGTCACTTTACCACGTGAGTTTCGTTTCCCACGGATCCGAGCCACTTCGGAGATTTCCGGGATTTTACCGCACGGGTTTGGGAACAATCGGATGTTTTCGGAGATTTTACGCACGGTTTGAATTTTGACGTGTGTCAATTCTGACGGTCGTGTCAGTGAATTTATTCGTGTTGTTTTGCAAACATGTACCGAAAAACTAATACACAGAAAAATGTTATGCAATATATCAGGCAATTTACATACTACGTGTTATAAGCTACAATTAAAATCTTGTGGACTAGTCGGCAAAAAAGTGACATTTATAATTTAAGTTTCCCATAGAAATTTTACATAATGTTCACACGAACTTTAGTGCTATAGCTTGCCAAGACCGATTGTGCGATTTTCAAGTATCCATGTCTCATCAGTACAAACAAAACAAAATTGAAGGTTAGGACCTGCTTTTCCTTGCTTATACGATCTTAAAAATTAAATCCTCTTCAAAGGTCTATCCTTGAATGATTTTTCTTCCAATTACAGTCTTTTTCTTTAAATAAATTACTTAATGATCAATTGTAAAAGTCAAATAAACAACATAACTATTAAAATTGTATTTATTCCGTTGTTTGATATCTCCAATAATATATCTCTCTCTGTCTAACGTACACAGTTAGAAAGAGACAACGATAGCAGAACCGATAGACGAATAGATTTAATGGCAATTAGTAAATATTTTGTTTGAATGGTACGAAACTTAGTGATCGGATAATCTGTTATTATTTTTAATTTGTTAAATCGTGATTTTTTCGTGACGGTGTCAGAAAAAGTATAGTATGCAACACGTCTAATGCCGTTTACCGCACTTGTTGCATGATAGACTATTTCCTCAAATTTATACCTTGTTTCTGATGATAAAATGCATGTCGTACTTCGATGCTGCATTAACGCAAGCATAGCTTTGGGTCAGTTTCTGGTTTACTTCGTTGTAATGTTTTTATCGCGCAATATTGCTGGTGAAGATGATCGCGTTGCGGTTTCGAAATGGTAAGTAATCTGAAGTATGCTTGCAATGCCGTCTAAAGTCAAGGCGCATCGTCATTTTTTTATGTCCGTCGGTTGAATGTTAATGTTTACTTTAAACGTCATTAAATAGCAAAAGAGAAAAGGAAATGAAATACATAGCTGGGTATCATAAACACCGAGCGTTACCCAACGTAGATGTAGGTAAATGGAAATCACTTCATCTCAAATCCGGAGAAGCTCAGCGTGGCGGCCTTAGTAGAATCCGTTTAATTGGTAAATAGAACATGTGAAACCATACGCCATCATTTATAAGAAGTAAAAGTACACATCAATTAGAGCGCCGATTAGGTTGTAAACAATTGGATCTCGGCAGTGTCGACAAGGCGTGAAACATATTCATGTAACGTCAGAATCGCGTATTAAGATTGTGTTATTTGCCGCTATTAATTAAACAAATCCAAATAATTACCGAAACCTTCAACTTTCGCTCATTGCCAGCGAATTTGTGTTGCCATAAATCACGAACTTCCAATTAAACTGAGTAACGAGCGATTGAACTTTGATTGCTCTGAAGTCATCGAAAGGGTTGATACCTTTGAAATCGTCCGGGAAAACTTTTTACTTTAGAAGGTTAACGGGACAAAAAAAAGAAAAAAACTGTCACAATAATAATATGCTTATTCTGTGTAGGATCACGTATCATAAATTTACTCTGCCACATATTGCAGAAAGTGACGCTAACAAATGTTTAAAGGAAATTTATATAAAATGCAAGGTCTCACCTACATAATATAAAATTTTTAAACACAAATATTACTTTAAATTTTATATTGAAAATAAACAAATCTTTCATGTAATTCTTAGCTTTTTTATTTTTTACATTTTCCCACTTTTTTTTTGTTATTTATTCTTTTATCTATATTTTTCTCATATTTCGTTTACTTTTTGTTCTTTAAGCATTTATATTTATTTAGTTGTTTATTGCTACGAGGCTTACAGATAGAATAAATTTTACGAGATGTTTTTTAAAAGCACTAGGGCCTGCAAAAATGTGTAAGACCTTGGCCTATTTGTTTTTTATTTCCATTTTTTCCATTTCCAATTTCTCTATTTCTTGTATGGTAAGAATGAGTTATATTTTGTTCTGTCTTGTTTTTGAAAATATCTAAAACAGTTATTTTAAAGAGACATGTCGACTCCCTAAACAGCTGTACAGAAGAATAATTTCTAGTTTGTTGGAAAACTGTTTTTAGGAAATATTTTTGCATAGTTTCCAATTTTTTAACATGTTCCTCCCTTATTCCTCCCCATCCCAAAATACTGATGCATAATAAAGTTTTAACATTTGGTGTTTATTTAAAATGTTTCTAAATTAGTTGAATCTGTAAATTAGTGTCCTTAGGTTGTTTACTACTGTTTGTAAATCTTTATCCAATTTTAATTGTGTATTCGTTGTTATTCCTAAGTGCTTTATTTTTTCTGTCGACTGCTGTTTGTATCTTTAAAGTGTTAAAATTTGGCTAACCCATCTGACATCTGTTTAAACCAGCTCAAATGTTTACTGAAATCGTTTTCCACTTTGAAAACTTGGTCGTCCGCAATATTGGACCTAAAACCGATCCCTTCGTGATAATATAGGAAATATTTTTTTTTAAATATAGGTATTATTAATTTTTGTTTCCTGTGTTCTTTCCGTAAGACAACTTTTGAATAGTTTCCAAGGTATTCCGCGTACGCAGACCTGCAAGACCCTGAAAGATCCCCAATATCAATTTATGATCAACTGCGTCAAAGGCTTTTTAAAACGCTGCAAGAACTTTTTTATTGTTTTCCAGTGAGCTGTAAATTTGTGAAGTTAAAGAGGCTATTGTGTTTTTGTAGACTTTCTTTGCCGGAATTCATACTGATTTTTATTTAATATATTGTTTTCCTCTAGCCACTGGACTATGTTATGTTTCTTATAAGTGATACTGGTCGATAGTTTTCTGGGAGGCTTTTGTCGTTTTTTTTTTAAATAGTGTTTTTACATTAGAGATTTTAAATTTTTCAGGACAGTTTCGTGTTGCAAAAATGTTGTTTATTAAATAAAGTATTAATTTCTTGAGCAAGTGGTAGTGTTATGTCATCAAAACCTGGTGATTGTAATCATTTTCTTTTCTAACCCTAGAGTTTGGATAAATCTTTTTTTCTCGAATTCCATGAAGAACATAACCAAGTTGCTTAAAATATATTATATAGGTTATTATAATTTTGATTGCAACTACGCTTATGGCCGCCTATATAATTTGAAGTAAATCCAGTAGTTTATTCTGAAGACAATTATAATAAGTTGAGACACATATTCGCAAAAAATAAAAATTAAAACAAAACCCCAATTTAGCAGAAATCAATGATTTTAAATGCTCAATGTTCATACTTTGTGTTTCATTACTAAATATATTTTTTTCAGCCGCGTTCTAGTTTTAGATTGTTTAAAAAGTCACAAAGGGTCACAAATATTTTGTAAATCCGAAAAAAGTAAATAAATGAATTATTAATTGTTTGAGCTTCAAGTTGACACTGAAATTTAAATTTACTCACCGTTAGTAAATATGCCATGTTTTTTGAAACCAATAAGTAGTTTATCCAAATAAAGCAGCGGATCACGACACTGGTGGGTTACTAAATGAGCGAGAGAAATTTCTTTCAGCTTTTATATGGCTTTCTTCATACGCACAATCGTCTGCCATAGGATGACAAGTAAAAAAGTGAAATTTTTTTAACCAATTTTGGGAAAATTGCGATGCATATACTAAGTTATAAATAAATTAATTTTTTTGATTCGAAAGAACTTTACATTTTTCTAAATTCTTCAAATTGAATATTAGTTTATAATTGATCATATAATTCTTCATAAATAATAATATGATATTAGACTATTATTAAAAAAATATGAATTACGCGATAATCTTTCCCATGTTTTATTTTTGTTCTTTAACCAGCAACTTGTTCAGTAATATTTATATTTTCGAACCGTGGTTTTTAATTTAAGATATGTTATTATTTTTCAAAGAAACTCTGGAAATAATTATAACAAAGTTGTTTCTATAGACGTTGTTTATGTAGACGGGATACTTGTTTTGGGTAACGTTTGCATATTTATTCCTTACCTATATACTTTGGATATTTTTTAGATCTTCTTAGTCTTTGTAAACTGTTTCTACCATTCAATCATTGAAGTTAATTTTTTTATATTTTCTTATACATTCGCGTGTTATTCAGCGATCATATTATTAACCCTCGGATTTTGTTCGTCAGTCCCCACTCCATTGCTGCCATGGTTTTTTGTGAGTGGACAAAAAAATCATAGCTGACCGTCTTACTAGACAATGCATGTGAAGTAGGCCCATAAATTTAACTCGAGGGTTTGTTTCGCTGTTTATTAATTTCGATTTAACCCACAGGGATAAGACAAGACAGTCACAACTGTGGCTTCAAAAAAATATACACGGTTAAAATTTCTGATGAGAACTCCGAGATGAGCGCTGAACTCCATTTTGTTTATTTAATAAAAATAGATAAATATATTGCAATGATTGATCACCTACGTTGTTGATTTTATCTAATTAAAATTTGAAATGCTTTTTACAGAAATCCCCTAAATCCTGTTGGAACTGATTTTGAACAAAAGGTTGTAAGGGGACAGTTCAAAATACTATCTATGTATATTTAGTGTATTAACTTTCTGGAATAATGTCACTCTGGTTTCATATAACGTGTTTCTTATATTATTTATATTTTAACTATGATCCCTAATCTAAAAGTATAATGTGATGTTTATGATTGTTGTATGGCTAAGGTGTGTCGCATTTGAAGCTCGATCGTTTACATTCTCAAGTTGTGCAAGGGTTACATTTTTAGCTTGGTCTTTTTCCAATTGAAAAAAAGCCAAGTTATTGAAAACTGTTATTATATTCTCGCGGTATCTTACCAAATTTTATAAAGAGTCACAACAAATCAATGTCAATTTTTACTAGTATGTTCTGAAAGATACAACCAAAACCGGCATTGATCGTCATAAAGAAAGGAGAATGGCTTTTTGCAATTTCAGTTGATTAAACAAATATAACCAAAAATGTCATTGCAGGAAGGTTATGCGCCAAACGTCTGTGTAAAAAGTTAGTATTTTAAAGTTTTTCTAAATGCATGACATTAAGATTAAAATATTAATAATCAATAATGTAATATATTTTGCTTTTCATATTATACACTAGTTTTTTAATATAATCATTTTGTTAATTCTATTAATAAAATGATCATTTAAAGTATTTTAAAACTTAAATGTTTTAGTTCTAGACGCAAGATTAATAATATAAATGTTGTTTCTAATTTAATAACAATAATGTATTTATTGTTTGGTTACATTGTTTAGGAAATTCTTCCAAAACGTACTCAGTTGTACGCATTATCATTGAATATTCTGAACCCAAGCCGGATACTTTATAATAGAAACAAAGTTACAGTAGTTACAGACTTACTGAAATCTGCCTGGTCTAATGTAATAATGTATATTAACCATAATAAATGTATCTCCCGAAATGTGTTACTTTTATTATTAACAAAAAAATAGAAAATTGTACAGCCTAAGAAATTTTATTCTTCAACTATTGCTAACTTTTAACGATAGTTTGAACAGTAAATAATTAAATAACAATAATTTGGGCTTTAACTTAAATTTTATGGCCAACTAGTCAAGCTAAAATACTTTTATAATATATGTAATTTTTGGTTTCAGAAAAAAGGCTTAATCACTGTGGTTTCATTAAAGACGTGAGTAAATATATAGAGTGTCTCATTTTAAAAAAAGTACATTTGAGTAAATGAAGAAATGAAATAAATCGGAAATTTTTTGTCCAATAGCGACAGAAATGTGTATTTTATCAAAGGTTGCTAAAGTTAAAGAAACAATGTACTATAAACTTGACAGAGTGTTTTCTAACCTAAAAGGAAGGAGAAGAATTTTTAGTTAATTTTGAGACGAAAATGTGGTATAAAATTTTTCATTAGGTCGTTTCGTTTTCTAAATACAAAAAAAAAATTCGATGCTTTTTTTTTATTTGTTAATGGTAAACGATATTCCAGGGATATTTAATATATATATATATATATATATATATATATATATATATATATATATATATATATATATATATATATATATATATATATATATATATATATATATATATATATATATATATATATATTCTCACGTATTGATTCACGGATGGAAAAATGTGATGACACTATATTCCGGGATATCATCCGTTCGCTCGTTGAACTCCGACTGGAATCCTGCATCCGACTGGAATCCTGCAAATCTTGCATCCGACTGGAATCCTGCAGACGTTTCGCCAAAATCTCACTTGGCATCTTCAATGCTCGCGCTCCGAAAACACTTCGAACAGTGTTATATATATATATATATATATATATATATATATATATATATATATATATATATATATATATATATATATATATATATATATATATATATATATATATATAATGTTATTGGTATTCGTTTACCCAAAAATCTCCGCTAGTAAACTAATCCAAAAGTTTACATATATATCTTTTAATCTGTGTGTCAAAAATAATCTGGTGTATGTAAAGGAATGACTATTTTGAAACATCGAAAAAAAATATCAATAATCTAAAGACGAAATAAGGACCTAGGAATGATATGATGGAACAAAATAGCTTTTGAAAGGCAAATATATCAAAATGGATCAAATTACGTCATTCGGAATTGTTTCTCTATAGTACAATTGCCACGGCACCACCCCATTTAATGCAGCCAGTGGCGTCAGTGGTACTTAAATTCGACTCAAAGATGAAATTTCGATGACCATTGTATGCTAATCGGAAAAGAACTAAAATCATAGTTTTTCGATATTTTAATGGCAAGGCCATTCTTATCCCGAAATTATTAACACGTATTAACACTTTATATGCTATCGGCTTACTCTTCTTAGCGAATACTATAAACTATACAGAGTGTTTGTTAACCCAAAAGGAAGGAGAAGAATTTTCACCTAATTTTGGCACAAAAATGTGGAATAATAAAATTGTCTTGTGTAATGTTGTGTTTTTAGATTGATTAAAATGTTAATTTTGAAACATCGAATCTATTGGAAAAAATTATCATACACACAACACCAAATAATGAAATAGGAATGATACGATAGAACAAAATATGAAAAACTTTTAAAATCAAAGATCTTAAAATGGATGAAATTACATCATTCTGAATAGTGTAATTGCCACGGCACCTTCCCATTTAATGCATCCAGTGGCGTCAGTGGTACTTAAATTCGACTTATTTAGAATGCCAATTGTGAACCTGGCGAAGAAACGACTAGTTAATCAAAGATGAAATTTCGATCACGATTGTATGCTAATCGGAAAAGAAAGGGACTTCCTAAAAAATCTAAACAGAAGTACATCATCATGTTTTATTTATTCGTCGAGATTAAATTAAACGCTTCAGGGGCTTTCGTTATTGTACCGCGTTGTAGTTAATTGGTAATTGGTTCTTCTTTAATTGCCGACAATATTTTTTTATCATAGTTTTTCGAATATTACAATTTTTATGCCAACGCGATTCTTATCACGAAATTATTATTAGCACGTATTAACACTGTATATGCTCTTAGGTTGCACTTCTTAGTCATTACTATGTACTATAAATTATTCGTTTAACCGAATCTACGCCAGTGAACTAATTGAAAAGTTTACATAAAGAAAAGTACTAAAATCTTTTAAACTGAGCGTCAAAAATAATATTGTGTATGGAAACAAATAGCGATCTCCGGTTTCTTTGACTTTTACAAAATAAAAAAAAACATGGATGGATAATGTTATTGTTTATTTCACCTATTATTTCGCTCTGCTTTGTCATATACGACGGGGAAATTAAAACTCAAAGCGTAAATCTCCACGAAAATGAACATTTATTTCATCCAAAAATAAAAAATTCAGTAACTTTTAAATGTTTATGCACCATTATTCATTGCACTGACTCCCCCTAATAGCGCCTTCAATAGGGATGGAATACTTCTCTATATCTCTAGGCACTCAGTATGTGGAATTAGGCTCCGATCCCTCAGTCCATTCGGCTCGCTTTTTTTGATCATTATATTATTTTAATTGTTGCGAATGTAATGCAATACTAAATTCTATTTTCAGGTTTCATTCTTAATGAAAAAAAAACATGAAATTTTGACTTTATGAGGATTTACTTCTACCTTAATTCCACTATCACAGCAGATATAACAAACTGCAAATATTTCCAATGAGTCTGAATAAAAACAAGAATCGATCAAATGTTCGTAATATTTGACATTAATGTCATAAGTTACGTTCAGGGATGGAACCTAGAAGAAAATTTGTAGCTTGCGATATATGCAAACGTTCTTATGACGAGTCGGTGTTGTTGCAAAATAGTGACAACAATTTCTACTGCAAGGATTGTTTTAAACAAAAGCTCTGTTCAAGTAAAAAACTTACTTTTAGAGAAGTATTAGTAAAATATGTGGCATCAAAAATGTTTTTTTTTTCAGGTAGAAAATTGTGTGACTCCGACGATATAAAAAAAAGCAAAGATGTGGAAAAGTCTAAACGCGAACCTTCAAAATCGAGGAAATTAATTCCCAACCCAGATATATATATTCAAAATGTCAATGCTGCCACGGAATTACATAGAAATCATAGTTTGACTAGTGTAATGTCGCTTTCGAAGAAGTGTGTCACCTTTTATATTTATTTTTAACATTTTGTTTAAAAATATTAATTTGTATTGAAAGGCAGTGAAAAATATTAGTAGTAGTGGATTAGTTGAGAGAAAAATCTTAGCAACTAATCTGGAATTATAGAGTCCCTGTTCTTTAACCAAAACCGATTTTTTGAAGGAGGCTATATAAAAACAAGGTTTTGACAAAGATTAAACGCCGTGATCTCTGATATCCTCGAATGCCTGTTGGTATGATAGCTTCAGAATAGAATAATAAAACTGCTCGTTTAAGGCCTCTTCAATGTCCTAAAGACGAATGCAACAAGTACATATCCATCGGAACGTTGGAGTTTCATTTCAAAACGGAGCACAAGGATGTGCCCGTTATTTGCCCGAATCTAGACGCGAGATGCGCATCGAAATTTTATCTCAGGGACATCAGATATTGTGTCGTTCAATGCATAGCTCTGTTAAAAATTGAGGATTTTAAGCCCGACACAAGGTGAAGTCGTTTTCATTTGACTTTGACTTGCAAGTAAAATACAGTTTTAGTGGAATTTCGTATAACTCAGCGCAGGATCCTAAGCCATTAATGATCCTGATGTGTACTAGGATCGCGGTTGTTCATACAGAAGAAGGAAACGAGGTGGAAAGAGATAGAGAATGTCGAATGACTCCGGAGCAAGAATGTTTCGGAGATGGGGATAGAATAATTGTTTGGGTCGCTTCGAATGTTGCAACAAATCTGAGTTATACGGTGGCTGTTTCTACTATTGATAGGGAAATACGGTAAATATTAAATCTTTTTTACCTAATGTGTTGCACTGATCCTTAAAATATGTATTTTTTATTTTTGCAAATTTTTAGCAAATAATGTATTTTCTAAGAATCCTTTCTACTATAAAATAAATGTCTAATGGAACATAATATTTTTTTATATATAATATAATAAGAATAAGAAGAATAACAATAATAAAAGTTCAATTTTATATTATGTTGTATTTATATTATGTCTGTAATGGTATGGACCTGTGTATGTGCGGCTATCTGTCGCTTTACCTTCATCTCACACTGTATATAACACTGGTTCAACAATATATAATTAAAATATTATGAAAAATTCAAAACACGTTCCGTTTTATAACTAAATATAACAGGATGTCGGAGTACTTTTTTCCCGAGCAATTAGAAGTCAATTAACAATTAAACTTTTCAAATTGGGTTAAAAAGATTAAATAATCGTGTTCTCGAAAGACCTTTCGACAAATATTTTTATTTTGCAGCCAGAAATATTTTGGTCCAGTATTAACATTGAATGAGAATCCAAAAAATCTTTGCCGTGACGGAAAGTGCCTGATTTTGACGCACATTCACTGTAGAGGTATGTCAGAAAATGGCGCCCAACCTCTTGCTTTAGACGTCGTTATACATGGACCTGACTAAAACCCCCATAAACTGTTGTATGTAGTTTGTTGAATAAATTACATATAGAACCTTGAATGATATATTTTATAAAAATGAAGATGCAATGCGAACTATACACTTAAAATAGCAAATATCGGGTCTTTTTCAGTGTTCATTTGGGAATGTTTTACTACGCTTATTATATTAATCTGACATTAATATAAAATGTTTTCTTTGTTTGCCTTGTTAACGTTTTCGTTTTAACTTCCCATGTGAGCTCTGACTTCCAGGTATGGAGAAGATTTTCTTTAGAGTTCTATTTACACAATGAATTACGAGAATTACTCGCGTCCCACTAACTTCTATAAAGTATGATTGTCAAATGATAAAAGCTGATAGATATGACAATCGTTTTAAGTCAAACATTGTATATGTTACGGACAATTTAAATAATTGAGCGTTATTTATAATGCCCGGGCAGTTCAAAATGTGGTCAAAGAGATAAGAGAAAATGATAAATTATGTAGAAATTATTACATTGCTCGGATATTATGCATAATGCTAAAAGTCAAGTGGGCTAAGAATATTTTTATTAATTCACAAGAAAGTTAACAAACATAGCTTTGATATCTAACAAACGTACCTGAGATGATATAAGTACAAAAAATACCAAATCCTGAATAAATATAACGCAAAATAAAAGACACACGGTGGGTTAGTTTTATGTTTTTTTTTATAGCAAGGACAGGTTTCAATGTCTGTTTATAAATACTAAAACACTGGTATACTATACGTAGACCTCAAAACCTACCAATCTATTAACGAGGAAATAATATTTGGTAGATCGACACAGAGTATCAAAAACTTAGTAAATATCTATGTACCAACAATACAACAAAGTTTATGAGTTTATAATAAACATATCTCAGTTAGGCGTTCGTTGAAACTATACCTGATATCAGTCAGATATGCTATTCCTGCATTATATTTTATAAAAAATAATCAAATTTTCATAAACAAAAACCCATACTAAAGTTGAGAAAACTGTACAAAGTAAACAATATGAGATGGCAACAACACCCCATTTGTGCAATTGCTGCACGTAATTTGTGCGAAGTAATTTAATTTGATTAAATTGACCAATTTTAATAGTCATTATTTTGAATGGCCAAACATTATGAATACTGCCTGAAATAATCAAACTACCCGTTGCATATATAAACAAACACAGCAGTATTTGCATTGTTGTAAAGGTTGGCAATTTTTTTCCGCTCAGTTTAGCACCATTCGTTCTGCCGCTTGTATTTCTCGAACTTTGGCCCTTGAAAAGAAAACATTTTATTTACGCACAAAGTTATTCAATTTTCGGAAACATTTCACCTATAACCATCTTTATCCGCAGTATATTCGACTAAAAATCTTCTGCCCTCGGGAGTTAAAAATCCATATCTCCCTACTACAGATCCATCCAATTGTCTTTCTTCATCTCGAAATTGTGTGTTGTCACCATCTGAATAATCAATGTCGTACCCGAACGCGTACGTGCCATATCCCTCTGGTTCGTAGAGGCTGTAGCCAGATATACTTTCCGCTATGCTGGGGTTAACGTTATTCGCTTGATGGACTGGTAATGATCTAACTAAACTTGACACAGCAAGTACAGTGACAATCTAAAATAAACATTAGATGTTTAACTTGTCGCATTTGGTTAATCAATTAATTAAATTAATTAGTATTGCATTAGGAATGCAAAGATGGGTTAGGAATGGTGGAAAAAGAGTTCGGATGAAAGCTATACATACTGGACGGAATTAGTTAAAGTATTTTTCAAATCACCTGCCATGTTCAAACGATATACCGTTTTTACGACATAATCCGGTATTTAACTTTGATAAATTTTTATGAAGCTCTAACCGCAGGCCTACCTCGCTTGGGTTTGTTTTTGTAACCCTCAACAAATAGATTCGCAATTCCACAATGACTTTCCAGATCCGTACTTCGGTACTTTGTGCATACAGATGCTGAAAGCTAGCGGATTTGTGTAGAGTTCCATCGGAGAGATTCCGCGACTATTATTAGTCCATGCAATAAAAAATCTATTCTTACTTTAAAATGTTTATTATAAATACGAAGGAGTAAATTTAGCTATAAAAAAATGTTAGAATATTTATTAAAAAAAAGTTATTTTGCATCAAAATAATCACTATCGTCACTGGACTCATCCCCCACATTAATGATTAATTCTGGCACTAGTCGACTTCTGCAAACAATTTCTTTTTCGATGACACATTTTTTCCAACTAGAGGCAGATATTTTTTCTACTTTACTTGGAAATCAGTTTAAGTTTAATATGTTATTATAATATAGGAGATCAAACTATGTAATGGGCAAATTCAACTTGAAATCGAGCTACCTCAATTAGAGGCCATTATAGGAATATAATAATATGAATTAATGCAACAATTTAATGAAAGAAAATTTCCCCACTTTTAAAATGGAATAGTCCGCACGGCATAGTTTTTGTCGGCTAACATCTTAAATACCGCCCTGGCTTGTGGAACACGTGCTGAAAAGAATGGTCCTTTCCGCTTTACCACAGGCGGGTCTTAAACTCATTCCGAAGTCAAAACCATAAAAGGTTGTAAAAACGGTATATCGTTCGGAGACCTCTACAATAGTTACTCTATACACGTGTAGAGGAACAAAAGCGAAGTGAAGCTTAAGTGTTAATTTGGTAGCGATAAGAAAAATCAAATATTTTTATGGTCATATTATTTTTTTTACAATTATTTAAAACTCGTATCTCCTATTATCTATTCACCTGGTGTATAGATATAATATACTTTATAAATTGTTTTTTATTATATCCCATTTATACCGTATCGTCGATGTTTTAACTAAATGTATGATTAATGCGGCTGTGTGGCCACCGTAAAAAGGCAATTTTTTATAGATTTACTAGATGAGGATATTAACTTAATGTCAAAGGCAAAAATATTATCCACTCGGTGCGCATTTCAATTTTTTTTTCGTGGAAAGATGAAGATCGCACTTTGCGTACTTTTTTCGCTTCTTGAAGCTTTAAGTGTCGTGAAAAGTTTGAAACTTGGGTATGAGAATATCAGATCTAACTTAAATGTGGTTGTTCTAGTAGATTCAATTTTCGACATGAAGATTCTAGAAGACTTCACTTATTTTGTCGTCAGCTATAAAAATACCGAAGACTTTCTGAATAAACTTCAAAACAAACCGAGCAGTTATATTTTAATGTCTAATAATATGGAGAATATCAATGACACATTGGACCTTATTCAAAAGTCTTACACTTTTGATGTGTTCGCTAAATATGTGGTCGTAACGGAAATAAACCAATTGGCTAAAGATATTGCAGCAACCTTACGGGTGCGTAAGGTAGTTGATTTCGTCATTGTATCGTGCAAAAACGACAATTTCAACGTCCTGCATTATAATCTAATCAGCGCTGAAATATCTAAATGTAAAACCGCAACCTATAAAGGAAGCATGAAGAATGAGACCCTCAAGGTGATATGGAGCACGATGCCGCCCTATTTAGTCCATTTGAATGGCACTCTTTCTGGAATATATGTAGATATGCTAAAGGAATTCCGCAGGGCCAGCGGGATCAATTTGCAATACATGCCAGAAAACGAGGCCTATTTAGAAGAAATTAACTCCGCGTATTACTTGGGATCTATAACAGAAGATTTGGAGTCTGGATACGCCGATATCTACCTCGGACCCTTAAGTATAAATGCAAATGACTTGATGGACATCAGCCCTATGTTGTTGAACAACGACTTACAATTTATGGTGCCGAAGCCATTAATAAATTCTTACTGGTTGGCTATCACCTCTTTGTGCAGCTTACGAACGTGGATAATTGGATCGATATCAACGTTCGCCGTTGTGGGGTTGCTTACATATATTTCTAAAGTTTTCGGGGAGATACAATTGTATTGCTCGCTGGTAACTAACTTATTGATGGTCGAATGTTTTATTTGTGGCTTTTCTTGGCGTCTGGATATGCCACGAATAGTGTGGATCAGGTTCTTAATAGGTGAATCTTGGAACGTAATTTTTGCGGATATCTATTTTTGATTTCCCGTTCATAGCGTTCACACAGCTTTTTTATTAAAAAATTAACTCCAAATGCTCTATGGTAGTGTACAATCATATTTTCATATTTTAAAAATATTTTGCATATTGCATGCAATATATATTTTTTAAGATATTATTATTAGACGATAATTTTATCGCCAAATTTAAGAGAACGTCTTGTCGAAATTTAGTGGTAAAAGTAAATTGGAAAAGGATTTAAAATAATTTGTAATGAGATTTAATATCAATTTTTTATTGTAATTACACAAACCCCTTATAAAAAATTAAATTTAATTTTTACAAAAAAAAAACCATCCCAAAGACTAAATATAGTCTAAAGAGTTTAAAAATTCAACTGAAGAGGCTTTTACTTGATGAAAATCCATTTATCAAAATAAATAAGAACTATAAGTTTTGATAAAGACACGGTGTTGTCGAAACAATTGTCATGTCAAAATATATAATTACGTGAAAATCTGAACTTTTATTTCTTATTTATTTTGAGTTTAAAAATATCCGTGAAGAATGTTACGTTAGATAATAAAGTGGCCTCAAGACTACAAACGTTGCGGCATTAATATTTTCGTAGAGAAGGGGGCGATTTAACTGGCACTTTGCGAAATTTTATTTATAAACAGTGATCGCTACACACTTAAATCGTTTTCCCATATGGCCCTTCTCAACATTTTCAGCATATTCAGGGCCTGTATGGGTCTAATAGCTATAAACGTATGTACTAGGTTTACGTATTTTTCGTGACACGATTTCGGCTTCTCTGTAGTCTCTTAGTAAGAAATTTAGATGCTTAATACTTACATGATATTCAATGCAAAACAAAAAATTTTTTTTTTTGCTATAAGTCGAAAATTTGTTACAGTACTTGTGATGTGGGTATGCTACATAACCTCGACTGCAATCCAAACAAATTTTTTCGCTATATTGTCGGGATCAGTATATGGGCAACCCATCAGAACTTTCAATGAGTTGGTCCAATCGCAAGTGGACATAGTCTTACCTGAGGCTATGCAGTTGCTTTTTGATGGTCAGGATCCAATGGGTAAAAAATTTTATAAGAAATGTAAATTCCTACAAAATGTGCCGTTTGTTGTAATCGAACAGAGACTTGCCCTGCATAAAAATTTTGCAACAATTGTTGATAAAGGTAAGACCTCCTATAAATTTATTGAAAAATAATGCAGTGTTTTGAAGGTTTTCTGCTGATGCACTCCGGTATACTAGATTCCTTCTCCACAGTCAAAGTATTCACCATGAACATGGTCATGACTTTGCCCAAACGTCATGCATTTTACGAAAAGTTTTGGGAATCGATTGAAAAATTAATCGAGCATGGATTTTTGGCAAAATTTACCGAACTCTACAAGTTTAAATACTTCATAGGAAGTACGGAGCGTGTCGAAAGCAGAGTGTTTTTGGTTTCCTTACGTCATTTAAATTCAGCATTTTTTATTTTATTCCTGGGCTCTGGAACAGCCACTATTTCGTTTTTGGTTGAATTGCTCGTTTCGAAAATTCGGCCGTAGGTATATTGTGTGCTATCGTATTGTACATTTAGAGTAAAGTCATTAAGACATTGCATATCAGGTTTGTGTTTGCGTGCAGTTCGTATTTTCTAGGTGTATTGGAGTTAACGATGTTTTCTTTTTGCACTGAATTTTCTTTAATTTTAAGAGGCACGTAATATATTCAATAAATCATTTTTACCTATTTATTTTAACGTTGATCGCTATTATAGTTGCTCACCGTATGTTTACATTGTTGGGTCTATTACTATAACTATACTATACATAAAAAATGAAATACTTATTCCATTATTAATTATCCTATTTAATATAAGAGAGGTAGTGAACCACGCATTATATATTGAAAATTAAAAAATGTATGCTGCATATAGGCAAAATATCTACTGTTTCGGTAAATATTGATGATATTTCATTGTTTTTCAGTTCTGATGCTACTGCATCCATGTTCAAATCTTAATGGTTTCGTAATTGCCGTAGAAAATATATAGCGTCCAACGCGTTTCTAAACTGGTGCATAATTAAATTCGCGCTAAATGTGTCGAATATAAAACTTCATATAAATATATAAACATAATATACTAATATGTTCATATTAAAAGGAAAATATCAGTCACATTTTAAATAATCCAAAAATTTTTATATACCTACCAAGCAAAAAGGAATATTCGTAATCTTTTTGGTAATACCGACTGTTTTAGTAATTGGCGGAGTTACTTTATAGATTTCTGGCGAAATACCAAAATTATATTACCAAAAATGTATGTATTTAATAGAAACCGGGCATATAAATTTACCTCGAAAGTCTCTAATTTCTGCCAACATTGTCACTTTGAATTTACCTCTTCTTTGAATATAACCTGAGAATCAGCAGTTAATTTTGAAAGAATTGTATGATTTTAACGAATTGTTTTATACATGGACTACACCTATATTGCTATAGGGAAGTGTTTTTTTTTGCATCGGTATGTTTTTGCGTTGCCAATATAAACGAAACAGTGTCAGAAAATGGCTTTCAATTTCAATTTAAGTAACGGTTTAATTAATATCTAAGGACCAGAAACAAGGCAATGATTCACTGGTATTATTTAATTGTATTAAAAGGAATGTTGGCCGCCTTTCTCATACCTAATGTATCGCAAACATATTAGTTTATTAGTTTATAAGTAATAGATGAGTGTCTTTCATTTAAAATAATATTAAATTAATAGGTAATTAAATTAAACTAAGTATAAGAATGTTAGCAAATGTTAAGTGGATATTTAAGGAAATTGTAGTATTCCTCAAAATACGAAAAACAATACTAAGTCCAGTTTTGTAACGAGTATTTAAGCATTTCTTCAAACCATCGTTTTAATTAATTTCCTAATTGTTTATCTCATTACAGTTTTGATTGCAAAATTAATGCTGTGTCTACATTTCTACAGCCCACACTAATGCCATTTTCGATTTCAAAATTTCTAGTATTTCAATCATTTAGTAGTGATAAATATGTACGTTTCTTGGATAATTTACACACTGGTTATCTGTTTTTTGATTTTACTCCCAACTTTTAAATGGGACAATTTTGAAATGTTTTAATATGATTTTATGTATTTCATATTTTTAACTTTGTTTGCTAACGCACACCTATAAAATTTATGAATGTTAATGTAAAGATACAAAACATTTTTTTTTGTAATTAAACATTAGAACATTCCTCAGGACATTAATCTACTAAAGAAGTTCCCCACTTGAAATAAAAGTGACAGGCAAACAATTAAAAACTCCGTATAATTTACCAGTTAAACCATTAATTTGCATAAAGGCAATGAATGTCGATCTAAGAAGACGTGAGATTGTTTACAACTTATGTTAGAGCGCCTGATTTGTTGACGGCATCGTAGATCATAACAAAAAGGATTTTAATTGGAAGTGTTAATTACCTTGAAAAATATAATACTTAAATAAATTGCTTACCAGTAACGCGACTTGGAAGACGTTCATCTTTCGCGCGCAAACTGACAAATGTGTTATTTTTTGCGTACTAAGCGGGTTCAAAGTGTTGCGGACATTTAGCCAACCAGTTCTAAGAAGATTCTTATATAGTTCCCTACCTGTGATTCCACGCGTAAAAAAGCCGTTTGAAAAATATTCACTTAATCCACTTAAGAGCGCAAATTATTTTAATTTAGAAGGATATCAGTTGAAAACTACAAATTTTAAAAGCAATTTCAAAAAAAAATGTTGTTTTTTTTTTTTGGACCCGGTAAGGAACTTTTTCACATTCACCCTCTTTCGCTCTGGCTTTCAATTTGCGGATACCATTAAATAAAAATCAAAGTCGATTATGCTTATATATTCAAAAAATGTCTAATAAGTAAACATACAAACCTAATATGGGTTTTTGCCGTATTTATAAAAATATGAACATAATTTAGGTTATTGTGATATGTATGTTTCTTAGAACTAATCCTGAAGTTTGTTTATTTCTTTTTTGTTTTAAGTATTGATTGTTTTACTAACCTGTTTATTTTAACTTTTTTGTATTTTTTATGTATTGAACTCGAAGTTAATGTGACACGTTTTTGGGTTTGGTTAGAAGTTGCTTGGTGCATAAGTTATCACCGGATATTATAATTAAAATGGAACATCTATCAAATAATAATGTTCACATAACATCTATAGAAAAAAGCTAAAGTAAATGAAATACAATATTACAATATTTATTACTTGTGCTTTACATAACGACTTGGGATCTTTGTATACTTCAGAATATTGTTGTAATGGAGTTCACAATGGCCGCATTAGAGTCACAAATGTTTTCTTTTTTGGCAACTCATATGAAACTTTATAGAATAAACTTGTTTTTGCTTTTTTGCTTTTTTAATAACAATAGTGTCAAAAAGCATATAGATTAATACTATTTGCAACTCTGAAGCAAATTCAGTTACAGTAACCTGTGGAAATTTCTTTGGCAAATTAAATAGATTAATAATCTATTTGTAATTGTCCAAAACTGCTTTAGCTCCACTTTGAAATCTTCAAAATTGCGGAAAGTGTTACTTAAAGACATCAGCTTCATTCTTCATTATTCATTATTCATTCATTATTCATTATTATTCATTATCGCGAGATAAATTGGTTGAAAATGTATTGTCATGAAAAGCTACATTTTATTATTTTTTAATTAAAATTTGCATATTTGCTAAAGTAGTCATCTAGCATGTCAATACCTGACTAAGTATGCAGAGTAGTTTTTAAGGCTAGGCTGCGCTAGAGTTGTCAAGTTAAATTCATTGTAATATCTGCTATCGTTACATTTGATTATACAAAACACATTTATCAGCTGTGAGTTCTTCTAGTGGCAGAAAATTATCTCGTCAATTTGTTTTCTTAAGCTTTTTCTTCACTGACGCTTTCTTAAACATTATTTTACATTATTCTACCTACCTAATGAGAATGGAACAACTATTAAACAGGCTCGTAATAAAACAAAAGAGTGCTTCAACTTGGCGCCAAAAAGGATATTTATGGGTTTGTTAACCTCATCGCTCAGTAAAATAAAATATCGTTTTAGGTACGCCTAACTAAGTTGTATAAATATTGTACTGTATTTTATTGCGTGTTAATTTTTATACGACAGAAGGAAGAACTACACGAGTTTTCTTGTTGTTGCCGCCCCCACGGGCTGCTATAAAACGCCCAGCGGACTACTTTTTGTCCCGTTATGACTTCAGGGATCTCATCGGAAAGAAAATTCCAATATTATATGATTTAATTTTGTGAATTAGGTACTATACAAGATCTCCCATGGGGAAATACTTGCACTTGCTATTAAAAAATTATATGCTAGATATAAATCTGCATTATATATATACCAATGTGGACGGGACCACATCGCGCTAAAATAATTTCAGGGAGGTGACATCAACAACACTAATTGCTCCTACAAAGAATCGTTAATTCTATTAATTTTTATAATTATTAATATAAGAAAGATATGCATGAAAATTAAACTGAAGTTATATTTTTCCAAATTGAAATCCCATTGAAAAATTAAGACGACTTTCTGTTATGTTGTTTGTTATGCAATTACCTAATATAAATTAAAATAATAATTAGCAGAAAAGAGTTGTCGTGTATGGCGAACTTGCCTTCAATATGAAAAACAGCATCTTTGCTTAAAGAAAAATAGTGCATATTGAATGCCAAAAATAATATGCAAATAACGAATCAACTATTTTCTTTAGAAATACCATTATAGGTAGAGTATTACTTCTTCGCAGGCCCCAAACTGCATTTTAAAATCAAAAATATTTTCTTAGCATAGAGTGTGTTTGTTGTAAAAGTTTTATAAGCAGCTGTTATTTATGAACATATATATCTACTTGTGGATTAAAAAAATATATATATTCGATTCAATTTATTACTAGAAAAAGCTTCCAGCAAATGAACCTCAGTTTAATTAGGGAACATCAATTTGTAGTACTTACTTATTCTAGATAATCAGGTACATATTTATCGTCCATTATTTTGCTTATTCCAAAGAATATGGTACTCTCCATCGCGTAACAAGAACCAACTGGGTATAAATGGTATTAAGAGGAAATTATTCGGTACTTATCTAATTCTTTATTTTGTATTCCAGAAAAGATATTAAACAGAATGTCTCCACCAAATTGAATAGACACAAATTTTCTGTAAATGATTAAAAAGAAAAAGGTAATGTCTGTCAAAAAAAAATTAAACTATTGAAATTAAAAATTGTGTCCTGTTGAATATATAAATTAATTACTTAGCATAAAGCTCAATACTTAAGTCTAACATATTCGATGTGAGCCTGAAACCCATTTTGGGTATCTGCGGTGTACTTGACGATGCGCACCATGCCGTCGTCCTGTAGCACCCTATATTCACCGACCACTTTGTCGCCCATTCTAGACTCCATATGTCCCTGTGAATTTCCGGTTTTCGTGTCTTGAATACCGTAATGGAAATTATAATTCGGTTGAGCCTAAAACAATAATTTTATTGCAAAAATTTAAAGGCGTGAGAAATAGTCTTTCTGTCTTGGTCTCGGAATATCAGTCGCATATTTTATTGTAGATAAACCGATTTTATTTAAGAAAAAACATAATTTTTCATTATGCTGTTCGATCTAATAATGAAGTGGTCATAAAAAAGCACAATAAGGTAAAGTGAAAGCAACAGGGAAAAAAAAATATAACTCTTCCATTACCACGTAATCGATTTTTCGTCCATCGGGATGTGATTCGGAGTTAATGATAACCTCATTCACGCGTCCGCTAACGGGGCCGGTAAATTTGTAAAACGAGAAACTGTCATCGGAAGCTGAATATGTACAATGAAATATCCAAAACCATGAAATCTGCAATGAAATGCATGATTATTACTTGAGTTGGACAAAAGAAGCGTTAATACAAAAAATTATTTAAAAAATATATTACTCGGGAACTAAAAGTAACATATGTAGGCATATTAGAAAGAAGAACATTGGAATGTGGAATTTTCAATAAAAGAAAACTACCAAAAAAGGGTGATCCAAATTGACTTGACCTAGTATACTGTCAAGCGCACGTGCTTTGAAAAATATTAAGTCGATACCAAATGAATATTTGATCACGACTTTCCAGATGCTTGAGCGCTTTTTTGAATATATTCAAAAAAAACTAATTGGTAATATTTTAATAAAGATTAGTATTAAAATTAGTTGGTTTTAGTTAAAAATATATACTTCTCATCATAATCCTATCACGGTAAGATTGTCTCTAAGTATACAGGGTGTTTTCTAATTGAATGTCAATAATTACAGGGGCGATTTTTGGGTCCCTTTTAAAAAGAAAACTTCAAACTTCAAAAATTTAACTGTTGATATACAGGCTATGTATAATACCACTTTAGATATTTTTATGCAATTTGGCACATGAACTATGTATGAAGCGTTTAATGTGTCACAATTTATTTTAAAATACACCAGCGGCGGGCAATTTTCATCTGTCTATTTTGGTAGATATTGATGGTACGCTACTGATTTCTCTTAAAATCATTTCTAAAGAAATTGTAACAATAAAAACCTCTTCTCTGAGTGGCTACAGCAATATCATCAATATGACAGCAAGCAGAGAATTTATTATCATTATTATTTCTTACCTAAGTAATTGTCTATTTGTTTTATTAAAATACTTCCAAAATATCAAGAAATTAATTGTCTTTAGAAGTGATTGGAGATTTTAAGGATTATTTTTATTTTAAGTGAAATCAATCAAAACAGACATATGAAATTCCGTACGTCCGCCATTGGTGCATTTAAAAAAAAAAGTGGAACACTAAATAATGCCTCTTGATAAAAAGTGCCAGGTTTCATTAAAATATGTAAAGTGGTATTACAGATATTAAAAAATATATATTTTATTTTTAAAATTTTACCGACCTGTTTCTCGAAAGTAAAGACGTTTGGACATATGTTCATATAAAGATTTCTTTTTAAAATGAACCAAAAAATCTCCCCTTAATTATTGACATTCAATTATAAAACACTCTGTATATACATACCACTAGGAACAAAGTGTGAAATCTCACTGATGACGACTTAGAAAACAAAAGAATGTTGCCTATTTCAAGAAACAATTCTTAAAAATGAAGAAAATTTTCTAATGCCTTAATAATCATTTTAGACTCCTTCCAAATGTTTGAGTCTGCGTCCGATTTACTTGATATTTATGACGTCTCAGTACTATTTTCTAAATGAAGACATTACTGTAAATTCCGCTTTATCTATAAGAAATTCGATATTTTCCAGTTGAAGTTCATCCACAATAAACACTTACTAACAGTTCTGCAATCCCAAACATCTTGACAACGAAAAATGCACAACTAAATTTTCGTCATAGAAATATCAATTTATAATGGGTGTAGCGGTTATCTAATCAATGGCGACACTTTTGCTTTTCTTTCCCTCCTTGAATATTTGTCTGCATAATTTTGTGCAACGTTGACATAACGAAAGGCTGCGGAAAAATGTCTTCGCAGTTTGTTTAATTAAAAAAAAATATTGCTCCATCACTTTATTAGATTTTACGGCTGACTGTGAATTTCTTGATGTGTATTTGCGGTTTGGCTGGTGAAGCGCGAAATTGACTAGTTACGAATCAAAGCGGGCCTGCCAATCCATCGTTTGACAACAAACGAAGTTGTCTGATTTAATCACTTGTTTTAGAAACCCCGCAAGTTACTGTCAAGAAAATGTACTTTTTTTTTTGTTGAAATTTCTAATAAAGAATTGAGTAGAATACAAAAAAATATTTATTTATTTACTATTTAAAGAAGAAACTATTTTATATTTTACTCAAGCGTTATTTTATGTCATAAAATAGAGATAAAAATCTTCAAAAACTTGAATCTGATTTTTTTTTTGTTTTTATTATCTAAACCTGCAAAGATGAAATAAAATTTGGTTAGCTCCGTATGTGTGAATTTTGGCTACTAAATTTGAGAGGCTGTAATTTTTTGGAAATGAGGTAGTCCTCTCTTATTTTTGTTAAAGATGTCATTGAGTGGAAATAAATTATACAATGAAATTTATCACAAATCCACTACTAAAAAATTGAAAAAAAATCATCGTCGAGTTATATTATTTTAAAATGTAGATTTTATTTAATTTTCTTTATAGGTTACTGTACTCACCTCTAAAACTGCATCTGTATTTTGAACAAATTGTGAAACCTAGTTTAAAAGAAATTTTATTTCTATCTTGCGTTGTATGTATTATACATGGTTAAAATATTTACCTTATATATATATATATATATATATATATATATATATATATATATATATATATATATATATATATATATATATATATATATATATATATATATATATATATATATATATATATATATATATATATATATATATATATATATATTCTCACGTATTGATTCACGGATGGAAAAATGTGATGACCTATACTCCGGGATATCATCCGTTCGCTCGTTGAACTCCGACTGGAATCCTGCATCCGACTGGAATCCTGCAAATCCTGCATCCGACTGGAATCCTGCAGACGTTTCGCCAAAATCTCACTTGGCATCTTCAATGCTCGCGCTCCGAAAACACTTCGAACACTCGAAGTGTTTTCGGAGCGCGAGCATTGAAGATGCCAAGTGAGATTTTGGCGAAACGTCTGCAGGATTCCAGTCGGATGCAGGATTCCAGTCGGAGTTCAACGAGCGAACGGATGATATCCCGGAGTATAGTGTCATCATATATATATATATATATATATATATATATATATATATATATATATATATATATATATATATATATATATATATATATATATATATATATATATATATATATATATATATATATATATATATATATATTTAATTTCGTGTTTGTAACATTTTCCAAATTGTAGGCAATAAATTTCAGTTCAGTTTTAAGTTTTTGAATAAATTTATGAGGGGGTGCCTTTTCCCTTCTCTAATCGTTTTATAATATTTAACTTTAGATTCGATGTTTCGTATGCAGTCCAACTCTTCTTATTATAAAAGTTCATAAAATCTGCAACTTTTTGTTCTGTGTTACGTTTTTGCATAGAATTAAAAGGAGTTCTATTTTAAAGAACTTTCTAATTTGTGTTATTATTTATTAATTTATTTTTTTTTACACACTCTGTGTGTGTGAGTGTGTTGTTTAAATTATATGGACTGGGTTTAAATTGTTTTAGAATAGGGAAAATTAATGTTTTTACTGTTCCAAACAGATTGTGACAAAATGAATGCGCATGAGCATAGTCTACTTTATTCCTTAAGTCGAATTTAAACAATAAACAATATACAAAGTGTACTAGTAAGTTAAGTAGAAAGAAAAGAAGAGGAAAAAAGCAGAAGCAGCTTATAATAATAAAAAAACTTCATTATCGTATCCAAGTGGTCAATTTAGTCTAATTTTTATGCTTGACAATATCTTAGCAGCAAATTTTGATCTGGTCAGCAGTTCCATAAAGAAAACACCGATGGCAGCCACGTGGCCGGAGATCAACATCCTCATAACCACTCCAATATGGACCAAGGATATTCTAAACACGCCTTTTTCTGCATCGATGTTATACTCCAGCGCGTACTTGAACTTATACAATTCCAAAAATTTACTCAAAATTCCGTGTTCAATTGTGCACGTCAAATCACTATGAAATTTTTGATAATAAGGGTGGTTTTTCGGCATCCCCATGTGCAGTTTCCATGAGTAGATTTCAAATGCGCTGAAAGTCTTCAGACAAGTAGGTCTCATTAGGAAAAATCCTAAAAATTATTCGCAATAAGCGTAACTACTTATTAAATCGGAGACTTACCGATATCAACAATGGTAGCAAAATTTTTCTCCTCCAACGCCTTCATCCCCTGCCCAAATGGTAAATGAACATCGTCTAAGCTTGTGAAACTGTTTAATATTTCTCGATTGTACGTATCGTTATTTTGTGAGAACAGCAAGGAAATGCTTTTCATAAGTTTAACCGGAATTTTTGACTCAACTAGGCCTTTGAGGTCCAGAATTGGTGATAAATAATGGACAGTGGACATGCGGCTGACCATATAACCTTGGATTGTTATTGTTATTACTAGTGAAATGAGCATATAGTTGCCTAAAAATTAGAAAACTTTTAGGTTGCTTCCAAATAATTTACTTGCTCATTATTTTATCATATACAAATATTCCTTATCATGTTCTTTACATAATAAGATGGGGAAATTCTAGAAAATATAGTGTGTAGGCTGTTGAGAGACTACCTGGAGCGGAACTGCCTGTTCTACTGTGGACAGTCTGTGCGGAAAAACAAGAACCAATCAAATCTAACTGTGAGTGTTCTTGTATAGTGTTTAGATTTATATTGCATTAAAGACTCTGCACTAGAATGGATAAAGAACTTTTTATCTGATAGATCTTACCAGACTAAAATTAATAATCTTTCTAGTCATAGGTATAACAGATGGGGCCGCTTTTATTTATTATTTATATGAATGATAGGTATCAGGTTATAAAATCCCATTTGTTAACGTATTTGTTGATGACACGCTTATCTCAGTCTCTGGAAACGATTGCAAAGAAATAGCTACCAAACTGATAATCGAAATGCAGTATTTCAACGAATGGCTTTAGCAAAATAAACTGAAATTAAATAGCTCAAAACAAACGCATGGTTATCGGTTCTAAAGTTAACTTTATACTCAAAAATTCTATGACTCTGGGTATTCAGTGGTTAAACAAGGTAATGAGTTCCGAAATAAAATATTTAGACGTGATCTAAACACCACAAATTTATAGAAATGATATTAAAAACGCACCTTGCCTAAGAGTATTCAAGGAGAGGCTCATAGTTTGTGTATGTATATTTTAATTGTAAATGTATATGTAAATAGTCCATTGCTAAATATTTTTTTTATTATTATTATTAAATCATTCA